GAGTCAAGTATATGTGCATACCCAAAAATGTCAGGAGTGCAACATTTGATGTTTGGCTCCCAAGCATGAAAAAACTATTATCATTATATATTTTCTGATTTTTATTTTGGAAAATAAAGACACAAAGAACATTTTTACCAAATACATGTAGATTTATCAACTACAGGATCTGTCTGTGCTTCAGATCCATATTTCTATGGTCAGGAGTGCAACACATTTTTTTAAAGATTCAAGTTGTGTGTCGAAAAGACTTCTATTCATGCTTAGAAGTATTCATTAATTAATAATGATCTTTTTGTATAATTTAATGCTAAATTATTGATAGTTTTATTAATAAAAATCCTTCCTTTTTCAATTTTATCAATTCAGATGTGTTTTTATCTTTTTTATGATTTTTTTAATGAACGTAAAAAAATTCACTCTCTAAAACATTGTCATTAAATTCAAGTAATTCCTCCTCAACTTCACTGAAACAACAGAACAAGTTCTTATGTAATTTTCACTTCACAATTCTACTTTAAAGGCCCCAGTGCTTTTGGTCAGGAGTTCAACAAATATGTTAGAATTATAAATCATCCAATAAGAATAAAAATAAAGAAAAAGTGATGAGTAGAATTTTTCTGGTGGGTTACTGTGTTTGTTCTCTAAAGGAAAATATGCTTTAAAATATATTTTATCTTTTAAATATACATTTAAGCTAGTTTTTTGGTATAAAATAGGGTATTATTCCAGATAAAATGCGAATTTTAAATACTTTCATCTGTTTTAATTATGAAGTATTGGATTATAAATATTGCACAATTTCATTATCACTTGATGTTGCCAACACTTTATGAATTTTTGTGTTCTATGGTTTTAATTTTCAATTTTACTGCAGTCAGGAGTGCAACAAAACTGCTTTATAATTACCAATGCTTTTTAACTATCTTTACTAAAAAATTAGTTGAAAAAAAATGCTTGATACTATTTGATGTTCAAAACACTATGTCTATCAACAAATTACAGAAATTTTACAGTCAATTCAGGGAATAGTTTTCATCATTTCACATATATTTTAAATAAAAAATTTTTTATTACACTTTGCAAATAATCATGTTTTAAGGTCTTCAAAATATGAAAAACCTGCTGTAAACGATGAAAAAAATCAACACGACAAATTGATTTACAAAGTAAGAATGGGTTATTGTGTGTTATAATTTTTAAAACAATTTTAAGTAAAATACTTATCAGATGTCAGGAGTGCAACACAATAATGTAACATAGGGTCACTTCAAAATCTTGTATTTTTTGTACGAGAACTCATTTATAACAATTCTTTTTTGGCTTAGATTTAAAAAATTGACTTGAACAGACAAAAAAGTGAATTTTGTGGAATTTTATTGCTTCATATTTTTTTCATATTAAAACTTTTCAAACCAGAATTGAAAAAATAATGTAAAATAACAATCAAAAAGCCAATTTTTTGTCACATGTACAAGAGAAGATACTCATTCAAGGTCAAGATTTAATCACTTATACCCCTTTTACCATTTTGAAGCATAAAAAACTATAATTTCTTGTGATTATGTATTTTAGAAAGTCTTTTAAGGTGTAATGATATTTTCTTTTTTCAAAAGAAATTTTACTAATAAAAATTCTGAAACTTTTTAATCCAATTGTCTATTCTATTGCCACTTCAGGATTTTAAACTAGAATGCATGTGCAGTATGATGATACAAGTGAAAAATATGATATACATGTATGTAGTTGAATTTTGCCAAAAAAATTCAGTTTGGTGGTCATTTTTTTTTTAATTCACCCTTAAATGAATTAGGCACCTAACACACATGTTAAATATATGTGTTTTGGTATATATTTTACAGGAATGTGTGTTTTGTCAGCTGTACAGAAGAAGGTCAGAGATCAAGGTCACTGGACCACAAAGTTCAAGGCCATAACAGCATTTTCTTTTGCCTTCATTGTATTAGGAACTTTTATTTTTGGGCTAACTCTATCTCAATCTATAATTCAAGATGAGCATGGCGTCAAGGGAGACAAGTCTCGCTATACCTGTTGATTCACGCATTGATAGTGATTGATGATGTAGAAATTTCTACAATCCAATGTTGTTTCTAATATTTAATCACTGTGTAAGTTTAAATGGAATTTTAAGTGTTTTATGTCTCCACTGGGTGAATGTTTACCATCAAGAAATGCTTTATGGAGTTTATGTGCCAAAATACATACATGTACATGTATTATTGAATTTTCTTTTTCAGATTCTTTTAATTTGAACACAATACATGTACATATTTGAATTGATTTTATTCAGGCATATTTTGCTTTTTGTTTTGTTTGTTTTGTCCCAAGATAATTTAGAGCAGATTTCTTCTGGTTTTTTTTTTTAAATTTTTGTTTTGTTATATATTATGTAATTTTTGTCACTTTAGTGTTAATTTCAAGTTTTTCTGAATGGTAAAAGCCACAAGAATATAAATATATATTTCATATATCTACCAGGGATGAATGTAGTTAATTCAATTTCTTTGGATATTTTTAAGTTAGAACAATGGAACAGAATTTAGTAATAAAAAAATAATCTTTGTAGAGATTATTTAGAAAATCTCTCTTTTTCTGAGTATTTTATATCTTACAAAATTGAATATTATACCCCTGCAAACAAAGCTTGGGGACTATACTGGAATCCCCATGTCCCTATAGCTGTCTGTCCATCTGTCTATATACATTTTTTGTCTAGTGATGATCTCCAAAACTATTCAATTCTTATACCAGTATCTCTATACTCTGTCATACTTTGTACAAATGTAGCTTGTGTCCAGAAATGTGCATTGGCCCAGTACCAAGGTTATTTTGACAAGGTCAAGGTCACAAGGTACAAAAGTTATTACTGTTTTAGCCACAACTTTGATATGAAAAAAAAACATACAAGTTTATGCCTGAGTCAAAGGGTATTTGATTTGTCCAAGGTCAAGATTATGTGTATTAAAGGTATTAAATTCTTGCCATATAGCCATAAGCTTAGAAGATTATACTAGATACTAATTCTGCTTAATGTGACCAAAGGGTGTGTAACAACCCCTCACCATATCATTTTGACAAGGTCAAGGTCACTGGATTTGAAGTGTAAAATTCTTGTCTGTAATATAACTTTATAGTGAAATAACTTCCAAAGGTCATTTTGTCCTAAGGGTTGATTATAATCATCTGATATGACGTGACCTTTTATCAAAGGTTATTAAGGCAAGGTCACAGAGGTCAGAGAAGTATCTTTGAAATGTAAAATTCTAAAAGACAATTAATACTTTTTATATACATATATACATATATACATTTTTGAATGGCACAGACATATCTTCACTATCCAAGGGTTACAATCTCCTTTTTTCATCTTAAGAGATCGGATTGTAAACCTTAACAGGGGAAGAAGGACAAATTAATTATTGATCTTGTCAGTAAAATTGTTGTAAAAAAAGTGAAATTTCTAATTATTTTAGTGCATGAAAATATGAATTGAGATTATCCCATTCTTTTTATAGTTCAAATTTACACGTGTAAATTTACTAAAAATTGTCAAGTCATTTTACTTGAAAAGTTGTGATTACTGCTCTTTTATTTCTAGTTCAATTTTTATTGCATTTTATGGTTTATGAATATTTCCATTTTAATTGTGACCACTGTGCACTCAAAAGTTAAATCAGTTTCACATCATCATTAGGTTTTAATGACAAATACTCATATGCTGTCCTGTTGAACATTTGAATACATTTTAAAGAGAGGTGGGATGTGAGATACATGTATTTGGATTGGTCTGTCAACAATTCTCCATGTCAAGATTTTTCTACATTTTAGAGAAGGTGCTTTTTAGTTCAATTGAAATTTGCAATAAATAACATGTAATAATTTTTTGTTGTTGATTAAGTGAAGAAAAATGATATTTTGTGTTGTTTTGTTTTTTTCATATTTCTATTTTTAATACTCATTTATTCTCCATTCTGTTCCGTTGTTCCTTTTATTTGTGCTCTCTGTAAGCATGGCATTACATAGGAATCATTTTTTACCATCCCCTTGCTTACCCTTGCATCTGTTTCGGAGGAGTCACTTTTCCACAAAAAAAAAAAATCAACTGTAGGTAACTTGTTCCACGAACTCTGTCATTTACATGTACATGTACAAGAATATGAAAAAAATCCCATTTTTTAAAGTTTTTTTTTCTTTTCTTTTTTTTTTGAAATAGGATTACTGATCAAAAATGAGAAAAAGGGTGAAAATAGAGACACCAGCAAGTCTATTTTTCTGTAAAATGCAATGATTTGTTAAAAAATAAAAAAAATCACTCTTAGTTAAAAAGCCATCTTTCATTGTTTTAAATACAGTTTATACAGGGTTTTTTTTTTTGAAAACATTAAATTTTGTGGTGTGACCATAGACTGCCACTTTTGCACATGGTTTCTTATTTTTGCACAGTTTTGCATAAATACCTAGTATGACATGTACATCTGTACATAACTACTTATTATATAAAATTGCAACAAAAAATTATTTGTTCATGTTATCAAACCATTCTCTGAAAAGATCATCAAGTTGTAGAATTTTAAGTGCAATATTAATCAATGCTTGAATATTATATATTTACTTGATTACTGTACAATTCACCCAAATGTCAGTTGGGGTGAAATATATTTACTGTGATAATCTTTTAATCTTTGTGAAGGTATGTAAATAACAGTAGATTTTGGTAAATTTCTGAAATAGAATTTGAATTCAACATGAAATTGGTTAAAACATTTTGTATGATTATTTCTCATGTCTTTATGTTTAAGGGGAACAAATCACAATTTCAAATGAAATATATGATACACATGTATTTACAATATCGTGATTTTATTTTGTTTTAAATACTTTTTGTACAGAATAATTATAATATATTGGTTTAAATTAAGGAAATGTTATACAACTCATTTTTCAATCACACATTCATAAATGCATATCAATAAAATGTCATTATTTCTTATTTCTTCCTAATACATGCATGATCTTAATCTGGACACTGAAATTATTTTAAAACTACAAGAGCGATAATACCAGCAAGCCACAACAGCAGTCCGACTAACGTAGCAACAATACTTAGAACCTGTGCAACCTTGGACGAGGAGTAGGCAGCTATCAGTCTGTTGTTTTTGTAGTGATGTTTTACCTACAAATAAGGAAGAACTTAATGGCATTATGGGGAAAATGTATCAGTAATAGGTAGCATTTTGATAAAATTATTTTTTTTTCTTCAAAATTTATACTGTTTCTTATAGTAAAATGTCCTTGTTTTTCGACACATTGAGCTGCTGCAACAACCTTGTACATATTTAGAAAGTAAATGACTGAACATGATGGAATTCATACATCCATTTTTAACTAATTCATGCATAATAAAGTCCCTAAAATTGTAAACTGAAAATTCTTACTCTTGTAGAATAAAATAGAGCCACCAGTCCTATTGGAAGGCAGCAGAAAATGGTGGCAAATATGGCTTCCGCTTTGTAATCCTTTGGAGAAGTTAGGATGTAGCCAAACTGATCAGCCAGTCCTGTCTTGGATAAAACACCACAATAACTATGTGAAACATAACAGTGGTCACCCCTTCTACACCCCCATAGAATAATGGAATAAAAAGGGGAAAAATAACAAAATAATGATGAAAAGCCAGTGAAGCATTGCTTGTAATTCGAACATATTACTGCAAGACTTATGTTGAAGAAATGTGGGGATTTGAATAGAAAGTTTCAAAAATGTAATTAACTAAGCAGTAATTAATTAGCAAAAATTGCTTTGAAGTCTATGGGGACAAGAAATTTTTTAAAAATTCAAATAATAATATCAATAAATATTGTTGTAGAAAGATGCATTAAATATTAGAAATAGAATGACAATATTGAAAACTTTTTTTTTACCAGATAATTTTTTTAAGATTAATATTTTTATTAATTAAAAACAGGTAACTATTACCAAAATTCAAGATCATGAATTAGGACAGATCCCACCCTTCCATGCTAATAGTAATAAATGGGAATTATGTCTAAAATATACTGAGTATTCAACACCTACACATCTGATATGTATTCAATTTCATTGAATCTTTTGCTATTAGGGATGGAATACCTTAATAATAATAACTTAAAAATTCTCAGTTTCCACAGTTTTAATTATCTAAATGTGCAAAATATCAAAATAAAGTCTTCTTTCTTCTTCATAAGTTACTAGAAAGATTAACATTTTAAAACTCTTCCCATTTTTTTTTTTTAAAATAACGATTCTTAAGAAAATTTGATCTCATAATTATCTTTTAATTTCTATGAATGAAGTCTTAAACTTCTTCTCATAAAAATATAGGATCATAAATATATGAAATATATAAATGTTAAAAATATCACACAAGACTGAATCAATATGCCTCTGACCTTCGATATCAGGGGCACAAAATGTGATTAGCTCAAAACCTTTCCCAGTGTCCTTTGTTGTTTGTTAGTGTCAACAAAGCCTTCACAAAATGAGGCTTTTTACAAAGAAAGAGCTCGATGTATTTAACACAAGTCTATACACGCTAATATCATCTCTATCCTTCTCCTCCCTCTCCCCACTCCTTCTCCTCCCTCTCCTCACTCCTTCCCCACACCTCTCTCCCCTTCCCACTCTCTCTCCTCCCTCCCACCTCTCTCCTAAACTCTCTCTTCTACCCTCTCCCTCTCTCTCTCCCCCACTCTCTCTCCCCTCCCTCTCTCTCCCCCACTCTCCCTCCCTCCCCACTCTCTCTCCCTCCCCCTCTCTTCCCACTCTCTCTCCCTCCCCATACTCTCTCTTCCACTCTCCCCCTCTGTCTCTCCCCTCCCCCACTCTCTCTCCCTCCCACTCTGCCTCCCCACATTCTCTCTTCCACTCTCCCTCTCCCCCCTCCTCACCCTTTCTCCCTCCCCACTCTCTCCCTCCCCCTCCACACTCACTACTTCTCCCTCTTCACTCTTTCTCCAACTCTCTCTCTTTCTCCTCTTTCCTCCCCACTATCTCCCTCTCTCTTTATTTTTTTTGACCGTCTGACTCCTTTATTTTTTGGACTTGTGAAAAAAAACTAATATATATGCACAATACGTATATGTTTTAAAGTTATTTACAATAAAATTAATGGAAAAAATACCTATTCCAGAATAAAGACAAAATTCTTACTGTTAGTAGAAAAGAAATTATAAAATGTTTATTCTTGATCTTTTTATTTTAAACTGGATTTGGCAAATTTGTATATTTTTGGCAAAAAAATGAATGTAATTTAAAATTATAAGGGCGATAACTTCAAACAATAGAAAATACTGCTTCTCTGTTCACAATTTGTTCATTGCGTTATATGTTTGCGCATTTAATTTTTTATGCTTGAAAAACAATATTTATATGCTTACTAACATGTAAGGAACATATGTCAGCTTGAAATCTAAGTTGGATATTATTTGTTGTACCGTTATGAAAAATAGATGTGCGGCTAATGCCCTAAATCATCCACATGCAGAGAGGAGGTCTATAAATATCCTTTATTTGATCTAGTATTAAATAAGGGTTTGACATTCACTATCCTTTTCCCTTGTAAGCTTCCAGTTTACTATATTTTCATAATTTTTATCTTGTTCAGACATCGTGTCGTTGCTTTCAATGGAAACCAAAATGCACTTGCATCACGACTCAATCGTTGTCCTACGGATTACCCGGCATTTCATATTTTCTTATTGCATATAAACGTTCGTTTGATGTTTGTTCAAATGTGTACTCTTAATTAAAACTATGTATAATCTTTACTTGTTGCATGGTTCTATCCGCTAACCATAGATTTCTACATTTCCTAAACGGTTTTGAATGGACAGTGTTAAATGATTAACCGTTGGGCTATCAACGTAATCTGAGTAAAAATTCACCTTATTACAGGTCCTAGCAAAGCTTCTGGGAAAATTAAAATCATTCACTTAAGTAATAGAGCCATTCAATCAAAGAAAAAAAAGCCAAGCAAATTGTGGGCTTAAAAATTGTACCAAAGTTGACTCTGTCGCGCATAGGAACCCTCCTCTATCTACATGTACTGTACATAACATTATAGAGATAAAGTTTATAAATTGTAAAACACTTGAGGTAAGCATTTAATTCGAAGTCTGAAGCAAGAATTTAAGAAGGAATGCCACACCAATTTTTTTTTCATAGATCTTTAAGATATCCCCTTTAAACTATGGTTTCAGTATTAAAAGGCCGATATTAACTCTCAATTATTTTATAAGATTTTTTCCACAATTTTTCATAAAAAAAAACAATTTCACAATTTCATTTCAATTTCTTTTCAAAATATGATTGACTAACATATTCTCCCTAGTTGTGACTAGTTTTATGAAGATTTTATCCATAGGTACAAAAAATATTTACAATTTTTGTGTTTTATATTCATAAATAATATTTAATTTAAAAAATTAAAATGTCATATTTTATTAGACATTCATATTATGCATTTATTAATAGCAAATTTTAAACCATAAAGCATCTTTGATTTCAACGTATATTTTATTGTCTATTAACTTTACAAATGGGATTGGGCAAAAGATCTAAAAAATTAATACGCCCTTTCCCTACATATAAATTACTGTATAGGGGGAAAATAACTCGCGGTGTTAATATTCGCTATATTCACGGTGTTAATAAATCCGTGAATTCAAGAAACAGTGAATAATTTTTCAATAACCTCCATGGTTTATATGGAAATTTGAGAATAAACTACGATAGGTATACATACGTCGAGCAGTACATGGTCATTTCAGTAATTAAGAGACGTACTTGGCATTCAATTATTTTAATTACGCGCTTTACTTTAATTCAAATTAGCAGATAATAACCTGTATTTGTTACAAAAGCTGTTTTGATAGCCAAAGCTACACGTTTTATCAATCAAAACACGTGGGGCATGGGTTTTGATTACCCGTGCGTATCTATGTTACCACGTGTATTTGTTACCAGCATTATCACGCGTATTAATTTTTATTTGTATATTTTATTGTCTATTAACTTTACAAATGGGATTGGGCAAAAGATCTAATAAATTAATACGCCCTTTCCCTACATATAAATTATACCAAACATATTTACATATGTGGGTTTCAGCTTAAAATAAATAAACACAGAAAAACATAATAATCAGAGGAACTATATTCAATATAATATATGTCTTATATAATACACAAGCTGTATAGAATTCGTAAAAAGTAATAATTGTATCAACCAAAAAAAACAACCTGACTTTTTAATAAATGTTTGTACAGTGGAAAATTAGTATTCATTTTCAACATCGTTTAATGTTACATCTCCCCACAGTAAAGTGTGAGTATCAACAGTATGTAATTTTCCCATTCGCAGAAATGAGTCAAAAAATTCTTTTCTGGCCTCTGCATATTTTTTGCATGAAAAGAAATAATGATGAGTATCCTCCACTCTTCTACAAGAACATAGGGGACTCAAAATTACATTACATCGAAAAAGATCGCTATTAAGCACACAGTTGTGTCGAAGCCTTGTATGTAATATATTTATTAAAGCGTCGAATCCCGTAACTGAAATAAGAGGGTGGCATAGGTTTATTGTAAGAAATGGAGTTTTTAAAGATAGACAATGAGGAAGAATTTCTCACAATAAGAGGTAATGAGTTCAATTCGTCAGTAACAAGGAGGATGAAAGTTGACTTATATGTTTGCAATCTGCATTTAGGTATCTTATAGTTATATGAATTTCTCGTACTGTAACTTGATGAATTACAATGCAAATTTGGGATTATATCAGTTAGATATTCAGGAACTTGGTTATTGTTTTTTCTTCTTTCATGTAATGGTTCCCATCCAGTTTCAAAGTATAGTGCATCTTTAGAAGCAAATAGAGTTAAGAGCTAATTTTTCGCTATCGCCTACATTACATCCACCCCACACCAAGGAAGCATATTCTAATTAGGATCTAAGAAAGGTTGTGTACATGACTGAAAGAGTTTTCCGATTTACATCAAATTTGATTTTTTAGGTCACCTGAGTCACTCAGGTGACCTATTGCTATCCGTTCTCGTCCGTCATCGTGCGTTAACATTTGAACATTTTTAGCTTCTTCTCTGAAACCGCTTAACCAATTTCAACCAAATTTGGCATATAGCATCTATGGGTAAAGGGCAACAAAAATTGTGAATTTCATGGTCCCTGCCCCCCTGGGGCCTGAGGGGTGGGGCTAAAACCACCAAAAATAATGCAATCTTTAAAATCTTCTTCTTTACTCCTGGACATCAAGCAGTCAAACTGTTGGCATAATTGTAATAAGCATTGAGCCCTCTACCAAAATTGTGAAATTCATGGCCCCAGGGTCAGGGGTTCTGGCCCCAGGGTGGGGCTATATAGATCATATAGTGAAAGTGCATTATTTCTTTGAAAATCTCCTTCTCTGCTCCTGGGTATTAAATAAGGTAACTAAGTACATAGTTATGATGAGCAAAAGTGCCTCTTCCAAAATTGTGAAATTCATGGCCCCAGGGTCAGGGGTTCTGGTGTTAGGGCGGGGCTCTATTGATTATATAGAGAAAATGCATTAATTCTTTGAAAATCTTCTTCTCTGCTCTTGGGTATTAAATAAAGTAACTAAGTACATAGTTATGATGAGCAAAAGTGCCTCTCTCAAAATTGTGAAATTCATGGCCCCAGGGTGGGGCTATATAGATCATATAGTGAAAGTGCATTATTTCTTTGAAAATCTTCTTCTCTGCTCCTGGGTATTAAATAAGGTAATTAAGTACATAGTTATGATGAGCAAGAGTGCCTCTTCCAAAATTGTGAAATTCATGCCCCCAGGGTCAGGGGTTCTGGTGTAAGGGCGGGGCTCTATTGATTATATAGTGAAAATGCATTAATTCTTTGAAAATCTTCTTCTCTGCTCCTGGGTATTAAATAAAGTAACTAAGTACATAGTTATGATGAGCAAGAGAGCCTCTTTCAAAATTGTGAAATTCATGGCCCCAGGGTCAGGGGTTCTGGTGTTAGGGCGGGGCTCTATAGATTATATAATGAAAAAGCATTAATTCTTTGAAAATCTTCTTCTCTGCCCCTGGGTATTAAGTAAAGTAACTAAGTACATAGTTATGATAAGCAAGAGTGCCTCTTCCAAAATTGTGAATGTCATGGCCCCAGGGTCAGGGGTTCTGGTGTTAAGGCGGGGCTCTATCAACTATCTAGTGAAAATGCATTAATTCTTTGTAAATCTTCTCTGCTCCTGGGTATTAAATTAAGTAACTAAGTACATAGTTATGATGAGCAAGAGAGCCTCTTCCCACTTTGTGAATTTCATGGCCCCAGGGTCAGGGGTTCTGGTGTTAGGGCGGGGCTCTATCAACTATATAGTGAAAATGCATTAATTCTTTGAAAATCTTCTTCTCTGCTCCTGGGCATTAAGGTGATAAACTAAGTACATAGTTATGATGAGGAGGTGGGCCCCTTCCAGAATTGTGAAAGCCATGGCCCCCTGGGTCAGGGGTTCTGGTGTTAGGGCGGGGCTCTATTGATTATATAGTGAAAATGCATTAATTCTTTGAAAATCTTCTTCTCTGCTCCTGGGTATTATTTAAACAAACTAAGTGCATGGTTATGATGCATAAGGATGCTTTTTTAAAAATTGTGAATTTCATGGCCCCAGGGTCAGGGGTTCCGGTGTTAGGGCGGGGCTCTATTGATTATATAGTGAAAATGCATTGATTCTATGAAAATCTTCTTCTTTGCTACTGGAGATTATTTAAACAAACAAAGTGCATGATTATGATAGGCAAGGATGCCTCTTCCAAAATTTTTAAATACATGGCCTCAGTTTTTGGGGTTCTTGAGGAGGGGGGGGGGGGCTCTATTGATTATATAGTGAAAATGCATTAATTCTATTAATTAATCATTAACTAATCCTGTCTGCTCCTTAGTATTGAGCTGATAAATAAATTGCTTAGCTATGATGAAGATGGGAGCTTCGAACAGAATTTTTAAATCTTGTGGTCCTAGGGCCAGGGGTTCTGGCATAACGAGGAAGGAGGGGGGGGGGGTGTTTGATAATATAGTGGAAAAGTGTTAATTCTTTGAAGTCCATAGTTATGATGATGAGGGTAACTCTTCCAAATTTGTAAATTTCTTGACCTTTGGTCTTGGGTTCTGGTGTTAGGGTACGGCTTTGTTGAATCTGTAGTGAAAATGCATTGTACCTGTGAAATTCTTCTCTGCTTCTGGGCATATCGAAAGCAAACTGAGTAAAAGTTTAAATGATATAAGTAAGCGTATTTCTACCAGATGTTTGAAAGTGCAAACAAAGTGCCAGACAATTTGTCTAAGCATTCTGGTCCTGGACAGGGCTCTATTAATTTGTATTCTACTGAGAGAAGTTATTCCCTTTTTCCATTCACCTTTGATAATTAATCACTGTAAATAATGTATTTGAAAGATTATTAGAATAAGATAATTATGCAAGAATGTTTATCGTATAATTCAAAAAGTACTTTCTTAGTTTTAATAATCAGGCAGACCTGTAAGTAATAGATAAGTAAAAATGAGACAAAAATAACTTATCTTATTAAAAGTTCTTCAAAGACCATAAGAGAGGTCAATGCTAGAGGTCTTAATATGGGTTTAAAAATAGTACAGAAGCAATAATAGTTTGTTAATAGTCTGCATGGTGATAATATTAAGTGTGGGACAGATTAGAACTTAAGTTATGAGTTGATACTGAATACTAGACTAATTATTTTGTTATCCTGATCTTCCTACTTCTCTTGCTTTAGGGCAACAAAGCTTCATCTGTCAGTGTATTTAACTTCTAAATTGTTGTATTATACTCAGGTGACCGTTAAGGACCTTGGGCCTCTTGTTTAAAATAAGCATCTTTGCAAGTAAATTTTTTTTTCATTTTTTCAGAAAAAATACCCAAAAATCTTATTAAATAATTAAGAGCTAATATCAGTCTTTCAGTGCTGCACCATAGTTTAAAAGGGATGTCTTAAAGATCTATTAAATAAAATTTTGGTGTGGCATTCCTCCTTAAATTATGAAAAGGACTGGGGAAGGAGGTAGAAAACATCTTAGAAATTCTGTAACTGCAGTGAATGATTTGGAGACAAGCCAAGGCCATCTTTAAAAAAATGTTTGTTAACCTTCTCCCGACCGACTGGCTAAAATGGTCCGACTCAATTTTTTTCTACCTCCAGAAAACAAAATATTTTTTCTTTTCTCATCCGTCCACATATATGTTGAAATTTTCTTGGGGAAAAATTAACGCTTATCATATCTCATCTCTAAAAGTTTTTTTTTAACAGGTTTTATTATATAATATTGTGAAAAAGTAGGGGGTCAGATTTCTATGGGGGTCATTTTTCAACGTGAGAGGAGTCGTAGAATTACCGGCCTGGGAGGGTTTTCTACGGTCGAAAAATGACCCTACTCGTCATGGAATATTGACCCAGGATCATTTTTCTACGTAGAAATTTGACCCCCTGGTCAATATTCTACGGGGGTCATTTTTCGTCGTTACACCGGCAAATTTGTATTAAATTTTTTTTAAATATATGTTATGGGGGGCTCGAAGCGAATTCTTCATTAGGACATCAGTGCAAGACTCCTTATGAAAACGTATTCAATGTCTTACCTCTGGTTCTTTCTTTTTAAGCCTTTTCTTTTCTCTATCACTCTGCTCTGCATCATAATTCTGATATCCACCGAATCCAAACTGCATAATCGATGATAATTTGCTCAACCAAAGAACGTCAGGAAAGGAGATACACTTCTACACACGTCCCTCATACATCAGATAAATACAAGACCTTTATTGTTTTCACGTGCATATTAAAAAGGAAGTTCTCAATACAATAGTATTGTTCTCAGTGACAATAATTTATTTAGCAACATTTTGTTTTTTTTTTATCCGTTCTTGGTTTTAATTGCAAGTCTGTATAAGGAACTAAAATCTGCAATTTCTGTCGTAGAAGCAGTTTTACTTTGGTTTTAGTCACTTTTTGAATTTTATTTTCCACAGTGTCAATAACACAATCCACATAATAAGTCCAAATAAAAACGAAATAAGTGCGAGATTCCTTGCTCTCTTTGAAGCATTGTATGCTGCAGGATAATTATATAAGCTCCACAAACGTTTAACCTGCAAAGATTAAATATATATCGATAACGAAAATCATATTGTCACGTAATGTTCTGCTGTATAAAGCATTATTTAAATTTCTTGGAAATAATTCTTAATATAGTGCTTTAATGTATCCTTCCTGAAGTCATTATTTAAAAAAAAAGAATTGTAGCAAAAAATTCTTTTACATTAAACTAATCACATATCTAAAATCCTAACTTACCTTTAATGCAAAGAAAACAGCAGCAATTGCAGTAGGTGGAAAGCATAGAAAAGTTAAAACAGATTCAAAGAAATAGTTCTTTGGTTGTTTCTGAATGTATCCGTGTGTTGGGGCTACTCCGATCTAAATCATTTAAAAAAAAAATCTACTTTAATTTTTTTTAAACGAGAAACAGCATAATGCAAATTAAATAATTCAATTGATCTTGGGTTTCAGTGTCTTCATTTGTCTTGGTAGAATTAATAAAATTCGATTCGTCTGGCTTCAGTACAATAAATAATAAACAAATAAAATGTACTGTGTCCAGTAGAAGATATACCTATTCACCTTGCCCTTCTTAACTCCTGCATCCCAGAAGAACTTCTAGGATGATATGCATATTAAATATGTATATCATGGTTTTGTCAGTCTGGCCCAGGATCATGAAGTAAGTCAAAATTTCAATCATTCTTATGATAAAACGAATATTTACTATGAAATAACAAGATGAAAGGAAAACAATCTTTGATAACTTCCATTTTTTTGTGTTTGCTGTAATAAAATTTTAAGGCAATGTTTAGAATGAACTTCCTCATGACCTTGGCGTTTGACCATGAATGAACATTTCTTAAAATAACATACTTGTTCTTTGTGACAAATTTGGTATAACAATATAACAAGACAGACTCTTAATTATTTGATTCAACAAAGCAAACTTACGTGATCTTTAGGTTTGACCGTTTCTCTTCTCTCGGTAGTAGTGCTGTCTTTGTCTATGATGTCAAAAGCGTGATAGCTCGTCGAATGGCCGGGAAATAAGTACATTAGTAAATTAAAGGCGATCAGAAGTCATTGAGTAGCTTAGGGTTTATTGCACTGTGGCAAATGAAGAGCAGCGATTTCCTGTAGAATCTCTATATGCTCTGGCTGCATCCTGTATCATTTACAATCACAGTGAACCGGTCCCTTATTTATTATAGAAACTGAAGTGTGATGGCCATGACAGAGATGTGTAACAATATAGGCCCACAAAAAATAGAATTTACCAGTGATTCAACATTATACCTGCAACCAAAAAAACAAAAATAAAAAAAAAATATGCTGACATGCATGACAGTATTTGCCTCTAAATGGACACGTACTTCTTTCGCACCTGGGTAAATATAGCGGGAAATTAAGCCGGAATAATTATGCTGCAAATTATATACATTTATCAAATTGCTCAGACGAGGATTTATCAAACTGAGTAAAAAATGCTAGGTTGAGCATGTGGTCCATGGACCTCTTATATTAGCATTTCATATAATACCTGCATGGTACATCCATTATCAGTCTGAAATTCAAGAATTTAACGAAGCTCTAAATACTAATGAAAAATGCTTTTTGGACTTTGAGAAAATGTATCATAAAATGCTGCTCCTATTTAGTGTTTCTAATTCATTTTCAACATAGGGTACCTGCATTATTTCTCCAGGAAAAATGTTCAAAGACAATGAACTATTTTTGTAAACAGAAATCACTTTCATTCACTTACATTGAGAAAATTAATGGAAATAATGAATTCAATTACTTAATCTCCGTCTAATATAACGTTAAGAATACTTTATAATTAATTACAAATTGTGTCATTAACAGTAAATTTCAGTTTATTATATTTTTCTTCTAACTAAAGGACAGATCACTCCATCTGAATAAAACTACCCTACAAATAGAACTCTTTAGTGTGCAGTGTTTAGAGCTTCCTTAATGAAGCAAGAATGTTTTTGTCTTTACAAAAGGCCAAAAAAAAAAAAATGAAGTTTCGAACAAAATTTGCCCCCCCCCCATTCAAAACTTTAATGTACATTTACAGGATACCAATAATCACATTCCGAATGATTTAAATGGATACCGCCAAAAATGTAAGAGGAATTGGGAACCAGATTTTTGGGGTACAAAAACGTGGTGTTCTGCCTACAGTTGGCTCCTGGATAAAAATGAAAATTAATTGACTAAGTAGGGTTTCTTGAAATCACTACAGGTTTTTGCAGAATAATGTAATCATATTCCATAACAGATTTGGTTTAAAATACAGGAGCTAGTAATGCTGGGAACCAGGTTTTTGTAGAAAAACGTCGTTTTTCGACCCTCCTCTTCATAAGAACTATTTTCCAATCTAATTAAAATCAGAATTCTTAGATCCGCGCCGTATACACTCTGCGTAAGAGTGTATATAAGGCATATATAAAGTACATAAGGATCTAAGAAATCTGAATTTAATTAGATTGACGCATTTCCTTCCGCATCAACTCTGGGGAACAAAATCTTGCTTTTAACCTTTTACTTGTATATATTACAATTCATCATTAATAAAGGTCATGATAAATTGCCCAAGTTTGATTAAATTGCCATATATAAATCCAGGAAATAGCACTTGTGGAAAGTGAATGTTTTGGCTTTTGCATAACTTATGGCATCTGTTTCAAGATCAATTCCTAAGAAGAGTGGGAAAACACTACTCAGATACATCGAAATGCTTTGTGGTGATGACAATAAATGTCAATTTCAAATTTTTCATTTTCTTCTTAAGAATCACGAGCAACTTGGCACGTATACTTGGGTAAGGGGTTTGTTCAAATGAAGGGCCACGTCCTCTTCCAAGGAGAGATAAATTGACAAATAGTGAAAATTGAGTAGGTTCATTTAAAAATCTTCTCAAGAATCACTGGGCTTGGCTTGAAGACTTATATGAAAGCTTCCTGACAAAGCGTAAATTCAAGTTTTTTGGAACCATATCCCCGCGGGGGTAGCTTGGGTGGGGACAAAAGGGCAATAAATTTTTTTTACGTAAGAATATATAGAAAAAAAATCTTTTAAAATCTTCTTCCAAGAACAACAAATTCATGAATAGTCATATTTATATGGAAGCATCGTCAGGTAGTGTAGAATCAAGTTTTTCTCAAGTCATGACCCGAGACGATATAGTGGGGCTATGATGGGCAATCAAAGTTTTAAATGGGAATATTTAGGAAAAATCTTCTTCTCTAGAAGAGCAAAGCTATGGTTAGTCATATCTAAACTGAAGCATCCTGAGTTAGTGTAAATTCAAATTTATTCAAATCACGGCCCCTAGGGGTAGGGTGAGGCCACTATGGGCGATTAAAGTTTTACTAAGAACACATGTAGAAAAAATCTTTAAAAGTCTTCCTCTCAAGAACAGTAAAGCCATGATTAGTCATATTTATATGGAAACATCATCAGGTAGTGTAAATTCAAGTTTAATGTTGAAATCATGACCCCGGGGTAGAGTGGATCCTCAATGGGCGATCAACGTTTTACATAAGAAAGTGTAGACTGAATAAAATCTTCTAAGAAAATCTTCTTCTCAAGAACAGCTTAGTCATGATTGGTCATATTTATATGGAAGAATCCTCAAAGACTGTAGATTCAAGTTTGTTCAAATCATGACCACGGGGGTAGGGTAGGGCTTTGAACAATGTAGGATCAAAGTTTTACATTAGAAGGTCTCAAGATATATAGCAAAAATCTTTAAAAATCTTCTTCTCAAGAACAGCACAGTCATAATTGGTTATATTTATATGCAAACATCCTCAGGGAGTGTAGATTCGGGTTTGTTCAAATCATGAACCCCTCCTCCTTTCCTTCGGGAGGGGGTTAAGAGGGACCACATATATGTAAACCTTTTAATACTGAACTGATTTCTGCTTTTCTGTAGCCAAAGTGCTCAGATGAGCGATGTGGTCCATGGGCCTCTTGTTTTTCTTTAACTTACTGGGAGTGAGAAGTTAGGAATTCCGACTTTTTTTAATCCTCTCGATTTCTTCCCCTAAAAATTGAACGTTAAACCTTGTCTGCCCTAATGTCAACCATGGTGCAAACAAAACGAACCAACTTTTCTGAATATATGTACACTGTACATATCTTTACACTGTGCATATATTTCCAAGTTGCCAACACCTAACTAATCATTCTCTGCCCATCATATCCAGTTCTTTGTCATGGCTTTTGCTCTATCGATTCCAGCTGGGTTTTGTTTTGCGACTACGTCTGTTATATAATATTCTTTATTAAAATCCATGAGCCCCTGTTCATAATATGCTAGTCCAAAAATCTATTCTGTCATATCATTTATTCATTTTCAAATTCTTTTAATCGCTCTTTAGTTATTTTTAGGCTCACCACTATATTTTTTTTTAATGAATGAAACTAAGGCGCATCCTAATAAAACATCAATACTAATAAGAACGTTGCTTTTATTACATTGAAAAACTAAATAACAGTTTTTCAAGTATTCCTTTATTTGGAAAGTATGGATGAATTATTCATCCATTTTTTTTCTACAGTGACTATAGGTCAAGATCATGACGCACCCTCAGGTCATAAGCAATCTTTGTGTGACGTGGATACTCCCTACATTATTCTCCATTAGGAAGATACGGAAACACACAAATTATGAACTTTTTCTGTCAGTGTCCTTGAACTTACACAAATGACCTTGGGTCAACGTCATGACACACTATCAGGTTATAAGCAATCTATGTGTAAAATGGGAACTCACTAAGTTTATCCATAAGAAGGATGTGGACCGGACACGAATCATGAATTATTTTGTATTTCTTATAATAGTTAGTGTAAACAATATTTTATTATAACAAAAGCATATAAATTAATAAAGCAGTAAATATTCAGAAAAATCTGAAATTTGGAATTAGCTATAGATTGATAAATTTAACTGTTTCCTTTCGCTAATAAACAACAAATATGTAACAATAATTCCTTGATTGACAGAGCGCACACTATGTGACATGAAATAATCAAAATTATAATAGATACATAAAGTTAAAACAGGCATTGTAACATAAAATTACAATGTAAATGAGAAATGAAGCAACCCTCTTAACAATAGGAAAGAAAGGGTTTCCACACTTCTTTCTGTAAAAAAAAAAATAAAGTTTTAAAATTACTAAGTAATCGTATATATGATCAAAAGATTTCAAACAGAAATGATAAGGCGTTTACGATCATATTTTATGTCTTTTTGAGAACACTAGTTATATATGACCCCAATCATACAATTATTTTCAAACAATATAGTATACATGGAAATCTATAATATACATGTATACTGTATAAAGGTTAATTTCGCCCATTGTTATTTTCGCCCTTTCATACTTGCTAACAGTTTTGCCCCGTTTTATATTCGCCCAGTCATATTTTTGTTTAAGGAATTATACCGTGTTCCTTTAATTCGCCCACCTGTGAGTATGGCGAAAGGGGCGAAAATAAAACGGGGGCGAAAATGTCTCTTTATACAGTAGATCTCTTCATAATACAATTGTACAGTAACTGAAAAAAACTGATAGTTTGATTTAGAGATTCAATTTTCCATAGCGATTAGCGATATTTACGTTTTGAATTGATGATTTTTCATTCTTCATTTATACACAATGATACATTTGTCTTTCACTAATTTTAAACAATCTTCAATTGCCAATGTGTACATGATTAATTATAGTCATGTACTCATTGGAAAATTGTTGATTAGTAAAGACACATTTTTCTTGTGTGTCGGAAATAAAGAGGTATCGATAGGATGCATTCAGTATTTGACGATGCTGACCTTTCACATAACTCTAAACCATTTTAAACATCTTCTATATGTTCGAAAATGTTTTAGACTTCACATATTTTGTAAGCCTATTTTCATATGGCATTTATATCTTTCGTAAGTCATTTGTGCGCAAAACTATCAATATGTTTTCCTTTTACACAACTTTCCAACATCAAATAAATATTTTATGTATAATAAACAACTCTTCATATTTTCGCCCTCCCAATAATTTCACACTAAAAAAATTGTGAATATTGGAGCCAGAAGCAAGTCTTCCCAATTTTTGGATGGACCCCTCACTTTTAAAATTTCTGTTATATTTGTTTCGATTAGGTCATCTTTATGTTAAGTTCATTATCCATAACAGTATTGATTTAGATATTCAACAACAGTTTGAACATTATAAACGGTTCAAAACGAACTTACCTAAACGTTCATGAAATTCACTACTCCTCGAGCTGCCTGTAAAGAAAATCGAATTTTATTTATTATAGATATATATACTAGTACATGTATATAAAAATTTTGTAAGGGGAGGGAAAATACCCACATAATTTTTTTTATCACACTTACATTTAATTAACCTACAATATTAACGTCATGTATAGGAATGTGGACGCCTTTGACTTCTAGTATGGAGAGAGTTCCACTAACAGACCCGGCCACTAACAACAATGGACGACCACTTGGACTTTGATGTGGTGGAACGTATCTGAAAGTACATTATATGCTAGATCATCTTCTCTAGCCAAGGGTTTCCGATCCGAAATCTACTCTACTTGTAGATTTCGGATCGGAAACCCTTGGCTAGCGAAGATGATATTAGATGGATTGGAGATTTCCTATACATTAATATTACAAATCTATCAATAGTTTGGACTTTCAGTAGGTAGTAACACATGTACTTATATATATATATATATATATATATATATATATATATATATATATATATATATATATATCTACGTCACACCAAACTGTCGAACATTGATGTAGTCTGTTTATCTCACCCTAGAAAAAGCGTTAGCAGGAATAAAATAAGGTATTTCACACAAATTAGTGGTACAAACATTGTTTCCTACGATCAGAAGGTAAGCTTACGTCACCTCATTGTAGTCAGCAACGCATGAAAGTCCAAACTATCTGTAGAAATGTTCTATTTGAAGGCTTACTTTATATCCTCTGGATCTATACAACTGATGGTCTGTTCGTCAAAGGCTTCCGTCCATGTTACCTCCGAGTTTGGTATGTTCCAGAACACACTTTCAAAATGGGGCCTGAACATGTCTCCATTAAAAGAGTATATACTGATAGAACCTGGTCGCTCATTGCCAAGGAAAACTATAATTCTGTTGCCCTCATGAACTATTGCAATACTCTCACTTTCAGGACCCTTTGAAATGGATATATATATATATATATATATATATATATATATATATATATATATATATATATATATATATATATATATATATATATATATATATATATATATATATATATATATATATATATATATATATATAATCATAGCAAGTGTACTTTATCCATTAAGTGTTTAACAATTATTTCAGTAAGCATTGTGTGTAAAAATAACACTTACAATACACTTAATTTTTTAAAATTAGAACAGTAATGATGGTTTACTTTGTCATCCGATCTACTATCCATCGTTTTTTTTACAACTTCGTGAATCTTTTTTGCATCTGCGTTAAACAAGTCAGGTCTTGATTGTGATATAGTATCTTCTACGTCACTTCCGCTATCATAAACTTTGGTCATTGTATTCGCCCTCCAAATAGAAAATCCTCGTCCACCAAATGTGTAAAGTTTATCAAAGGTACCATCGGGTAATCGTCCATTTTCTTTTGTTATTTGCAGCCTTCCTTTCAAATTATAGAGATTATTCAAAACAAGTCACACACACACCCTCTTTATAACGTTATCTCTCTCTCTCTCTCTCTCTCACACACACACACACACACACACACACACACACACAGAGAGAGTTATCAACAGAAATCTATTACTTGTTCATTTTTTATTGACTTAAAAATTTTTTCCCTGCAATGTCAAAAGACTAGAGTACCTAAAATTGAATCGCCCATGATATTCCTTACGTTGTTCTCTTTCGCCCACCTTAATACATCAGAATTGTCTAGTAAAAAAAGAGGAAAATTAAACCATCTAAAAGTATAGTATTAAAAATTCATTGGAAATAAAACGAACCAATATCTGATCAGTAAATTACTATACGGTATCTAGGAAAACTGTACTTGATAGCATAATTTCCTTGGCTTGCACAACTTCACTGAAACCAGTCTTATGCAGAGGGTATTCTGAATAATCTTTAATATCACCCTCATTAGCCATAATGAGGTATTCAGCATTTTTAAAATCTATCACATGAATGGAGTCAGGTTGATACATCCCCATCACCGGCAAAGGTCTAATATGAATTCCTGAAAAAGATGAAATCTGAATTCGACATCTTTTGACAACAAAAATTACCAAAGACTCTGAAAAAGAAAAGTTCTCAGAAAAATTCGGAATTTTCAGGTTTTGGCGGTTGTGAAAAAATTAAAATAACAACACAGCTGGAATGAACGATCTTTGAGTGATTTTTTTCGTCAAAGAAAAATAAAGTTTTATCAAAATTAATTTACCATTGTCTTTGTCACTGGCATCAAGTTTAGAATTCCTCCAGTCTTTAAATCCAAGTCCGTGAATTGCTGTTATGTTTTCTGTCTCTAAATCTATCTCTGCTATTGCATTGTTTTCCTAGACAAATTCCAGAAATAGCCACAGATGGAATTAAAAATGGAATAATCGGTCATCTTCAAAGTAATTGATGCATCATTTATAAATGAATTTGACATCATTTTTCGGACAATTATAATTTCTTTCCGATTGAGAATAATATTGAAATGATTCTACAATGTTACATCGGGTACAAAATCATGAAATAGCATTATACGACTATGTAAACACGATTTGCTGCAAAAAGAGAAACTGATTGCATTTATTTATTTTAAAATATATACTCTGAAAAAAAAGAGATTTAAGAATCCTTTTTACCTGAAGGCAAATGTAAGCTTTCCTTTCATCTTTGCTGTAAGTGATATATTCCGGTTCTACATCTTGGGAAAACGTATTATTATTTTCTTTATAGATAAACCGTACACCGGATTTTGACAAGTCCGACCACCTAAAAAAAGGTCGATCAAATCATTTCTAATATTTGAGTACTGTACTGAATATTTTCACTTTATTTATTTATGTTTTATTTATTAATTATTAAAATGAATTAAAAATTAAATGAATACAGCTGTGGCACTAAAACATCGTGAAATGACAAAGTGATTATTTTTAATATCTATCTATCTATCTATCTATCTATCTATATATATATATATATATATATATATATATATATATATATATATATATATATATATATATATATATATATATATATATATATAGTTATATTTAAAAAAAATCAAAGTATAAAAATATATGTGCAAATTCCTACCTATCATTGAAATTGTGAAAATTCAGCCTTTTATACGAATAGTATGAGGCTGAGATGTTTTGACCATGGAACTTCAACAGTCCCACGCCGCCTTCTGGGTCCACTAATTTGCCGTCTCTGGCAAAAGCTTCCGCCTCCAGGGCAATCAGAACAGTGCTACAGTGTGAGGAAGGCAGAAGCATGTCTGGTAGGGGACCAACTGAAAACAATTGTTAATGTTAATCTTGATATTATAAACAATAGTTTGTAGCTGACAGATCACATGTTCATCGTTTGATATGCTACTATTAACTGGGCTGGTATAGTCAAAAGCTATCAAAAAGTTAATTACATCAACTATATTCTCATGAAAAAAAAATATAATTGCTGTTTTATTTTGACGAAACATGGCATGATTTTTTTGTCATCATTAGAAATGTGTACCTGTAATATTTAGAACAGCCTCCATTGTATCATATTTTTTATCATACTTCTTGAAGACGATCACTCTCCCAGCCTCTCTATTTTGATTATTATCCAATGCGACAAACACATGATCTCCACAGAATTCCACGTCAGTGGGATCAAAATCGCCTAAAATCTCATGGAAGAGAATTATTGGCTTGTGAACATCGGATATGTCTATAACATTGAGTTTGGACGCTCCTGAAATTATAACTTGTAAATATGGAATCTCAAATTGATACTTTTTCAAAGAAGACGTTTTTCTTTCCTTATAATGAGGGGAAAAGGTGTACTTTAAATTTATGACAAATAACTCAATAAAAAAAAAGTATTAAGGTTGTAAACACAAGTCATATATATATTTTTTTATCAATTTCAACTTAGTAGAATTTTGTTTGGGATAAAAAAAAATCAATGATATTGGAATACTTTTTTGTACCATATATACAAAATGATGGGTTAGAGGAGAAAAATTAATTTTTAGGCAAATGGTCAAACTCAGTTATAAAGTTTAGACAAGTTATCAACGCTTCACAAAAGCAGAAGCAGAAGAAGAATGTTGCCGGTTAAGATGGCTTTAAAAATATTTTAATATTTTTTGTTTAGATATTTTCATATCATTTTCCTAAATTCATTTTTTTTCTCATGCATTTTTCTCCTTTCTAGTTAAACCTTGCTTTATGAATCAAATATTTGTAGATATCTGCAGTCGGTTTATACCTCAAGCTAAGCTTAAGTTTGCTATCAAAATAAATACATAAATTATATATACATATATATATACAATATAAATCCTTTAACTTACCAACAATATATACAATTTTATCCTGCGGATCGTAAGCGAGTTGTTCAGCAGCTCCTCCAACCAAAGTAAAAACCGGCGTCCCAGCCTCAGTGTATGAAAATGGCACGTATAAGTCAGAAATTTTCTCTAAATGAATATTCTCACAATGCCCATAAATGGAAAATAATATATGTGAGAAAATTAGAAGATTTTGAAAGGACTTTATGCTATTTTTCATATTTAACATATTTTTGACTTTAACAACTTCATAAATGGGGTATTTTGAGTATGAATTCTAGTTTGACTAAATTTGATGAATTTATATTGGGTTGTCATGTGATCAAATATCTAAACTTAGTGAGGTAGTCACGCACCGACCCATCTCATGCGCATGTGGAAGGACAGCCTCGACATTAACATTTGTAACGCAAAAATCTTATTACGAATTGGTACTAACTTCCCAACGTACACATTTTCATAATCCCTAGTTGGTAAATGACGCATTTTCTTTGGTAGAATATCAGTGCAATGCACTTTAAAGATAGAATTCTGTAAAGATTAGAAAAAAGGCATTTGAATCTGTTTTTTTCCTCTGTGATATGTAATGAAGATAATGTTTTCATACGATACGATCATAAAGATTTATTCATCTTTGATAAAGTAGAAATTTAAAAAAAAAAAAAAAAACCAATTACTTGCCTTTTTCATTAAAAGTAACCGTAACCTATATATTTAAAACATGTGAAATGAATATATGAGGTTGGTTTTACACGACAGAGTTTTTTGTTGTTGTTGTTGAAAATTGTGTTATCATTAACCCTTTGCAATTTATTTAGTAGTTATTGAAATTTTTTGTAATTAAAACATTTCATATAATTTAAAACCGTTTTAAGTCGACAAAAAGTTCAAAACTTAGAGCCTTTAGAATTCGATAATTTTTAAAGTGGATTATTCGATTCAAATTATATAATTATTTTTCATACATTTGACAATTCACACGTGAAAGGGTACTTAACGACCCATAATCTGATAGGAAAAACAAACAAACGAAGGTCATATATGTCGCCTAATCTTTAAATGTCATTGAAAATATTTAAAAGGCAGGTCTCATCGATTCTATTCCAAATATTGTTAAAACTCACATGCACTGAAAAGGTGCTAAATTTACAGTACTGTTAAATCAAAATAAATCATCATTCACACCATTCTGTATTGTAGTAGAAGCTAAACAATAGCACACTCATTATTCTTAAATATGATTTCTTTAAGGAAGTGTTTTCTCAAAAAAAAAACCCTCCTTTTTTTCCAATCATTCAAACTATTTTTATTTATTTTTTAAATATCACAATAAATGACAGTAAAATCAATAATAAAGATTACAATTTTTACACAAATATTTTATATATTATATGTAATCATTTCATGAATCCACACTCCTAACAGAGGGAGAAGGACATTCCTTTCTGAAAAAGAATTAGATATTAAATAAAAAGTAATGAAAACAACGAAACAAAGAATATGTACGAGTTGTGATGGTAAGAAAGTATGATGAATTGATCGACAGACGGACGATTAAAAACGATACATATGTATACTTTTTTGTAGAAAGAGGGGATAAAATTATTTTTTTTAAATACATAGTGAAGAAAAAAAGCTTACGTGAGTAGTTTAGAGATCCCTCATTTCTGATATTTTCTGTAACATAAAAATGGTATTATACAAACTAATTTTTAATCATATTAATTAACATTAATGAATAATCTGAATGAAAAGTACAATCTTAATAAGCCTAGCTTACCAATATTGATCCCTTTGACTTCTAATATAGAAAAAGTGCCACTGGCAGAACCGGCCACTAATAATAGAGGTCTACCGCTTGGACTTTGATGTGGTGGAATGTATCTAAAAGTATTCAAAATTATTACAAAATTAAACATCATTGACATATCAAAAAATTGTATGAAATTCAAATATACTTTTATTTTATGCTACTTAAAATAAAAGAACCTAAAAAATTAAAATACATGTATGTTGTTATTCTATGGCACTTAAAAGTGTGAGCAATTCAATTACTTTAGATCCTCTGGATCTATACAACTTATGGCCTTCCGGTCAAAAGCATGTGTCCATGATTCCTCCGAAGAAGGTATATCTGAGAAAACACTTTCAAAACTTGGTGAGGTCATACTTCCAATAAATGAATATATACTGATAGAACCTGGTCTCTCGTTTCCAAGGAAGACTATCACTTTATTACCATCGTGGGCAACTGCAAGGCTCTCACTCTCAGGACCCTTTGATGTTTAAAAAGGAAATCATTATTGCGCATAAATTAACGCCATTAATTAATTTAACTTTTTACATCGATAAATAATGAAAAGTTCTATCAGACATGCTTTCAATATTTTCATCTACTTTAAAGATATCAACATTAACAGAACTGTAAATATATGTGGAAATATATATGTTGGACATTAACTGTTTATCGCCTCATTGCTTTAAAAAAAGCAATGCATGGTATCAAATTATGAAAAGATATGATTTACTTTGTTATCTGATCTAGAGTCCGTTGTGGACTTAATAATGGCGTCAGTTTTAGCATCTGCATTGAAGAGATCGGGTCTTGATTCTGCGTGAGTATCTTCTACATCACTTCCGCTATCATAAACTTTAGTCATTGAATCAGCCCTCCAAACAGTTAATCCTCTTCCACCAAATGTGTACAGTTTATCAAAAGTTCCGTCCGCTAATCGCCCATTTTCTGTTGTAACCTGCAGCCTACCTTTAAAACAGAAATGTCAATTAAACTGAGTCAAACATATCTTTGAGACAGAAATTTCAATTTTAAGTAACTCAAACGTATAATAAAATAGTAATAAAATTCGTATTTTAATGAGTGATAGCAAAGCATTTGTAACGAACGAGAGCGATTACCTAAAATTGTATCATCCAAGATATTCTCTACATTGTTCTGATATGCCCACCTTGTGACTTCGGAATTATCTATGAAAAATAATAATTTAATGTTATGTGAGAATAGAAAATAGATAAATGTATAAGAAAGAGAGGTGTTGCTTTTTTCCTTGCTTATTATATCTACAATTCAGTATACAGTACTTGCTAAAGTGATGTCCTTGGCTCTTATTTCTTCACTAAAACCAGTCATATTCAGTGGATATCCAGAATAATCTTTGCTGTCTCCTTCGTTGGCTGTAATGATGTATTCAACATCTTTCATTTTCACCAAATGGATAGCGTCAGGTTGGTACATCCCATACACCGGAAGTGATCTAATGACAATTTCTAGAGGAGAAAAAGGATAATCAGGTGTACAATCTTACAGTCAGAAGAAAAGCAGATACGTAAAATTATTTTTCCAAAAGACTTTGTTGGTTTAAAATCGCTTCATTACATTACCATTATCTTTGTCATTAGCATCGAGTTTAGAATTACTCCAGTTTTTGAAACCAAGTCCGTGAACTGCTGTAATGTTTTCAGTCTCCAAATCCACCACAGCTATGGCATTATTTTCCTGTTAAATTGATGGACAAACAAATTATTAGAGTTTTAAACTAAAAAAATCTACTTTTAAATCAAGTTAATAGAGATGACAAAGTTAATTTACATATGACCAGAGAGAAAAGTTTTTTTCCACAGGCTCAGGATGCCATGAGCTATGAATTTTGAATCTGATTATCTTATATCATTTGGCTTTCCAGCAATTTGTTTCAGCCGCCATATCATTTTCGGATGTATTTTTAATTACAAAACTATGAATAAAAATAGTTTTCATTTTTAAATCATAGTGATAAAACATTTGTAATGAAATGTGAATAAAATTTTACCTCATATAATGATCGAAGAGGGTGTGACAAATGTATGGATTCGGTGCGACCAAGGACATTTGGGAAACCGTTTCGTTAAAGGCTAAGGACATTTGCACGAATACACCTGTATTTGATCAAGGACATTTCAGGAAGGAAAGGTGGACATTTACTTCAACGTATATAATAAGCATTTACCTTATTAAACTTAAATGACAACTGGTCAACGAGTCGAATCGGTTCAAAACTGAACGGTAGAAAGTACACTGTCAAAAGATTGAATTTGTTATTTGTGATCTGGAAATGTGAGATATGATCAGAACGGTCCGAAGAAATATTATGAACTTTCTGGTTCGGTGGGATACAGCACGTAATGGCCAAAAAAAGTTTAAAAATAACTGACATATTGTTACATTTCTAACCTGTTTTTGTTCTTATTATCATGGTTTTAAATTTTGAATGTACTTAAATTTATATAAATTATGCATTTACATCCCCCTTTATTCAAAATTTATAACATAATATTATGCTGGTGACTAATCTCTTATGAACACTTGTTTTAAAAATATGTTTTTAAATATGTGTGTGTATTCTGTTAGAAATTGCTTTTCCATCTATAGGTGGTGAACAGGAGAGGGTAAAGGGGGAGGTGTTGCAAAGACATTCCTGAAAGTTCATATATATATAAAAAAAAAACTAAGTTGAAAATACAAAAATAAATGTTAATATCAAAAGCTGCGTTCTCTTAAATTTGTTCCTTCAAATGTTCGTCTCTCCTCTAGATCTGCACAAATGTTCGTCGGTTTCCGTTGCCTTAGAGCAAATGATGTTTGTTCGTAAGAGCTACTTCTCTATACAGTGACATATCAAGCTTTAGAAGGCGTTTTGATCTATAGTATAGTAGTACTTGAGGATGGCTTGCTTGCGATTTTATATCTATGATATTCAGTAGGGTAGTATTTGTTTAAACTCAGAGAGGACTTTGAAAGTATCAAAGGGGGCGTTTTCTGAACCATTGATTTTTTTTCCAAATTCGTGCATAATACTCATTCATGAGCGAATGAATTTTTTAAAAAATGAACTTTTACTTTTTTTTATTTTGCTTTAATTTGCTTTGTTTCTTTTTTGAGTTTAGAATGTTTTTACTTGTTTTGCATTCTGGTTTTGATTTAGTTTTTCGTTTTTTAATGTATGACATTGAACCTTGTGTTTGATTTTAAAGTAATAGAAATTTGGAACCGTAACAAAGTATCCACACTCATTCTTTTCCTTCCCTTAAATTGCGATATGTTATGGTTTATGGTGGTATTGAGTTACAATTGTAAGAGAGATGTACTATGATGCATGTCTAAAGTATCTGTTTATTTCGTATTTCAAAACATGTTTAGTGTCCATGGATTTATAGTACTTTATAGTCAAACATAGTAACTTTTATATAACCTGTGTGACCATATCATGGTCCATATATTCTCATAAGTATATACTATAATGTAAAGAAATAATTCACACTGATTACATGTATTTAATTCCCTTATGACTAACAAATAAAAGACAAAAAGAATATTGGTCATTTCTATTAAACACAGTCAAAATCTTATTTAATTTGATTCATATGCAAGTTCAGGTTTCTAGCAAAGAACATTTCTTCTTTCATGATAGAAATTCCTGAATCTTAACTTTTTCAATATTTGCCTAAATTTTATATGTATTTCAATTGGTATTTGGAAAAGGGGTTTGTAAATTATGGGGCTTTAGACTGATAAATTTATGGAGCAATTTTTGCAATATGCTCTTGAGATAAAAGATAAAATGCATAAATAGTGGCACGCCAAAGGATTATTCCTTTCGGTATTTTGTAAGGAGTGATTTAACTAAAATAAGGCCTTAGTAACCACCTATAAATGCGCACGCAATCGTATGCCTTAATTTATTTGCTGTTCTCGGGGAATTATAGAGATACTGATCAAATTAGAAAGAAATATGCAATATATTAATTAATGAAGGATGACTTAACTCAGGTACGAGTTATGTTGTGAAACTTTCATTTACCTGAAGGCAAACGTAAGCTTTCGTCTCATCTTTACTGAAAGTGATATACTCAGGTTCTAAATCTTGAGAAAACGTGTTGTTTTGTTCTTTGTAAACAAATCGTACACCAGATTTTGACAGGTCATTCCATCTACAAATCACACAAATATTTTACACTAATACCATATATAGAAACCAAGAGATGAAACATTTCATTATGAGGTTATAGATGAATTCATGAAAACTACTTATCATAAGTTCTTTATACCCACATTCATCTTCTTGGTCAAAGAGATGATTTTAAGATAAGTTATTTTTTGATTAATTACTCTTGTGTACGTTTTAGTGAACCAGTAATTAATTTAGGACTGTAGGTGACACTCTGTCAGTGGTAATTTTCATTGTCTTACCTATCATTAAAATTGTGAAAATTTAGTCTTTTGTAGGAATAAGTTGAGGAAGTGATGTTTACACCTTGAAACTTCAGAAGTCCAACTCCACCCTCAGGGTCAACCAATTTACCATTTTTAGGAAATGCCTCCGCCTCAAGAGCGATTAAAACAGTTCTGCAGTTTGAGGTTGGAAGCAGCATGTCTGGCAAAGGTCCAACTGAAATTTTATCATTTAGAAATATTAAAACAATTCTTGGAATTTTTACAGATCTCACCCGTGCAAAATTTTAATTCATTTCTTCTGAAATATTTAAGAGAGAGAGAGAGAGAGAGAGATACAAAATACATATAAAAGACTTTAAGGTACCTGTGATATTTAAAACAGCCTCCATTGTGTTATACTTCTTGTTATATTTCTTGAAGACGACTACTCTCCCAGCTTCTCTGTCCTTATTATTATCCAAAGCGACAAACACATGATCTCCGCAGAATTCTACATCAGTTGGATCAAAATCACCCAGAACTTTATGATAAAGGATCTGTGGATTTTCCACTTTGGATATATCGATAACATTTACTTTGGATGCCCCTGTAATTATTTTTTTAGGTTTTATGGTTGCGATGAAAAAATTCCCAAGTTCTAATGAAGACAAGCTAATGGCAATGGCGAAACATGAAGGATGGCCTCTGTCTTTTATATTTATTCATTACTGCATCAGACATAAGAGAGTCAAGTATGACTTTTTGAATTTTGGTTTAGGTCCAGTATGAACTTTTTTTTACATAGTATTTTGTATTTGACACTTTTTTGCTATACATGTACTTCGGATAATAAATTTTTCGTTATGCATTAAACAATACTACCTGATCTGTATAACAGAATTTTAAAATATTTTTAACATAAAGGCGTACCAGATTATTAGCTGAAAGTTTCGTATTTTTTTCTTTTTTAATAAATATTTTTGCATAAAAAAAACTCACCAACAATATACACAATCTGATCCTGAAAATCATAAGCCAGTTGTTCTGCCGATCCTTCCGCCAAAGAAAAAGTAGGAACCCCCTCGTCAGTATAGGAAAACGGTATGTATAAAGTAGAAATTTTGTTCAGATGAATATTTTCACCTTGAATGTAAGTAATCAATAACATTTGTAAGAAAAATTGTAGTTTAAAAAACATTCTTGAAGCACACTTCATATTGCATTTAAAGAACAGATTTGGTTTTTAACTGCATGTCCGTTTCATGTGATTCACACATGCTCCCAAGTTTTTATGACACTCTGAGCATACACCATAAAGCATTCATTTGGAAGTGTGGTCAACAAGAAGTAAAATATTTACACTTATTATATATTCAAAAGGCTAAGTATGATGGGCATCTCCAGTCTACCGATCAGTAATTTCTAGAACAATTTTATTATCTTTTCCTTCTGATGGAAGAAATAGATATTACTCAAAATTTTGTTGAAATTTCTAGTTACAAAAGCTATTGTGAATAACATAGTAAGATTTTATTAATTAAAAAAAACTAGTCAAAAGAATTTACACAGGTCAGAAAATCTTAATATCCAAACAAAAAGGATAAAATATTTAAAACTAAACCAGAAGTAACAAAGTTATAGGCCAGATTCGTTTTGATTGCATCGAGATAGACAAAAGGCAAACTATAGCTGAAACCAATATGGTGTGTCAAGATATGTACCGGAAATGTTACAGATTTTTGCAGGGCAATAGAGAGCGTAACATTTGAGAATTTTGTGTGAATTTGACCTTCAGTTCAGCCAAACTTAAATTCCCTTGCTACCTATTGATATTAAACAGTTAATTAAAGAGATGAATTTAATTTTTAGAATTCATGTTGACATGAACTACGACGCTTTACGCCGGCATATTTCATGAAGCGCGTTAGCATGAATTCTCAAAATTTAAATTCATATCTTATATTTACATTATTTTTCTGATGACTTGCTACATGTTTTTGTCATTCAACGATCATTTTTCTTAAAATAAAGTTTGCACTATTTTTTTGACTTTAGTCACATCACAAAGGAACTTACTATTCTTACTCATCCTACGGTAGTTCATGACAACATGAACTTTTTTCTAATTTGCAAAGAATCTTAAGGAAAAATATTTGGAAATGTAAATATACATAATTATTGGGAACAATGATATTGCATGACGTTGGCAAACATTTCTCTACTGGTCCACATACGTTGACAATAAAAGGACGAAATGAAAGTCACACAAATGGACATTATCCTTATATGATGATTAGATACATTAGTAAATAGATTTTTTAATTTAACATGATATTACATACTAAAATTATGCAGTTTTTGACAATGTTTTCGCTATGTACATACATGTAAAGTACCTAACAATTATTTACCATTTGCTTATCCTTGTTTTAATATTTGACTATCAACACTGTAGTCGCCCGCGGGGCGCAGTGGTTAGAGCGTTCGCTCTAATGTCGCGGAGTAAGGAGTTGATCCTTACATCGCGGGTTCGAATCCCACTGTGGGACGTGGAGACCGGTCCTTCGGATGAGACCGTATAAACCGAGGTCCCGTGTCGCAGTAGGTGCTGTCACGAAAAAGATCCCTCATTGCTCAATAGCCCTGAGTGCCGAGTATAGGACAAAATTTGCAGCTCTCCACAGGCAAGTGGTGGCGTCTCCATATGAGTGAAAAATTCTCGAGAGGGACGTTAAACAACAAACAAACAAACAAACATCAACACTGTAAACTCAGAACGTAAGAATATGAAAACATTTATTTATCATCTGAGGAAAGCTATTTGGTTAACAAAAACAGAGACGTAAACATTCAGTCAGATCATATAGTAGAATCTGCTGTAGTATTCATGACTTCCTACTTTTGGCAGGAATTTAAGGTGAAATTGAATGTGGCTTTAGGTTGTATGATTGACAACCAAGACCCAAATATTTAAAGAAAATTCTAGCACCGTGGAATTAAACTTAATAAATCCCAAAAATTAAAATGGAAGGCATACGAATTGATATCAAATGTAAAACGTAGATGTCGAAATTCAATGATTATAATAGACATCGAAAATTTATAATGCATACCCCTTCCAAAGTCTTCTTCGTTTTAAAATTTGAATAAATGAAGTGTGAGCATGTATCTTGAAAATTTGATGCAAACCAACATATAATCGATCTATTTCTAATAAAAGAATGACATTTTCCGGAAAAACCGTAAAATTTTAAACCATCATTTGATAGTTTACAAGCAAAATTAAATTTCTGTTGAAAAAGATTGCAATTTGTTGTAACAGATTGTGCCACAGTGCTTTGATATCAACGTTCATTAAAATGTACAAAAAACTCATGTCTTACTCGCGTAGTGGAAACATAGTGGAAGGAAATAATTTTTCTCATCTTATTCGCTCATGTACTTTATAAGGAGTTGGAATGATGTCCTGAAATAGTGTCACTAACCTAGACAGGATAATTTTAGAACTTAATCTTCCTTAGCTGGAGACTACAAATCCATTATGCCATAGATACCTGAAAATTTTTGATAACGATTCTTTTTTTTTTTTTTTTTTTTTTTTTTTTTTAAAATGTGCTTCAAATAAAATAAAAAATTGCTTACAAGGAACTTTCTTCTCTTAAGCATTATTAAATTGCCATTTTAAAACGAAATATTAAAAGTAACTGCATATGGTTAACCTTTTCAAAGTGTAAAACAATAACCCTGGCTATCACAAAAGCCATCTGATTTCAAACAGTTCTACAGTAATAAATTTGTCCAATTTGAAGTTTTTTCCCTTCAAAATTCAGGACATTACTTAAATTACGAGGCCTTGACATACATGTATGACCATTGTATATAGCACGTATATATAGATATTCATAAATGTAGTAGATATGAAAGTGGGTTGTCCCTGAAGAAATCTACTTCCTTTTTGTTCAATGTATCCTTTCAAAATATGACAAAAACCAACATTTATTCGAAAAAATGAATGAATTTGCCTGGCCGAAAAGTATTCGAACCACTTAAAAAAAAAACATTGGAATAATTTTCTGTTGAAATCAGTCACTCGGCCTTTCTGAAAATTTTAACTACAGTACATTCCAATTAACAATTTAAAAAAATTCTCTGAACAATAAATTGATTTGAAACCACTTTTATAGGTACAAAGCATTGATACTCCTGATCAGCTGTAGTGAAAGTTATGACGAAAACGTAATTGAATGTTGTGTCTATGTCTGTTAAGTTTAGAAGGATTTCATTGTTTATATATTCATTAGGTAAATGACTGTGTATACCTTAATCTGTCACTACTTAATTGACCTCCAAAAAAGCGAATTTTCTCAGCTTACTAGAATCGCGCAAGTTCTTTAAGGTGTGGAAAAGATGTCCCAAAATCGTGTCACGTTCCTTTTGCGCATCTGGAGGTACATTCAAGGGAAGATTAATGACACTACTGTATAGATATTGTGAGGTTTTCTCGATAACCTTCCGACAAATTTATTCTTCAGGCAACTTCAACCAAGCGGACACCATTATAAATGCGTAATAACATGTATTTATATTGCCCTAAACATTTTAGAATAAAAATATGGAAGACAATACGTAGATGTATTCTTTTCCGTATTACATTTTATTTTCAGGTTATTTGTGTTATACGTGTACTAGTAAATATATTTTTATATACACAGTGTATAACCAAAAAATAGTTATACTCAAACACTGAAATGTTATTTAAAAAACAGTAAACATATTTAATATAATTATCTTGTCACCCAAAGACAAGAAATTGAAAACATTGCTTAATATTACTTTCTGTTTGTAAATCTTGCCACTAATAGGCATTGTGTATTTAATAAGGTTACCATTGCATTAGATACTTCCTTTAACTAACTTCTAACAGTTGGTTTTCAGAATCAGTAATGTATTTTGTAGATATAGATTATGGAAAATCACTATGTTGCAATCAACAAATTTTCAAAATAAATGGATTTTTTCTCTCTGGCACTGTACTCAATAGTTAACTTTTATAACGACTAAGTAAAAGAAATCAGAGAGCAAAAGGACTATTCACAGATGATTCACAGATGTTTCACTTGTGAACAAAATCACCTTGATTTCCTTGTCATTCAATATCTTGAATATTTCATCTTTAAAGTCCTATCGGTTGTTGGCCAAAGATAACCAGGTATTGAGAAAGTGTATATTTACTGCCTTATGTAAATCAAATCCTTACTTAAGTATTCCTGTAGACCATAGGTGTCTGAGGACAGGACACTCTCCCCATGATATATATGGAAGACCCCAGGACTTTTTCATAAATAATCTTTTAATATTTGTGACTTAATAAATGTTGTCAGACTGATATAAAACCCCAAAACAATTATTTTATAACAAATCCTACCCAACTCTATATTTACATGCATGTATAGACTTCATGTCATGCGAATAAGGCTTTTGTGTTGGGGTACTTTTAGATGGCAAGGGGACTGCGTGTAAAAATTTGATCCCCTATTGTGTCCCCACCCTTCCCCGGGGGTCATGATTTGAACAAACTTGAATCTGTACCATGTAATGAAGGTTTTACATAAGTTTCAACTTTTCTGGCCCAATGGCTCTTGAGAAGAAGATTTTTGAAAGATGACACAAAATTTTCACTAATTCTTAAATATATTCTTAAATATATCCCCTTAAAAGAGGAATGACCCTTCATTTGAAAAAAAAATCTTGAATTCCCTTCACCCAAGGATGCTTTGTGGCAAGTTTGGTCAAAATTGGCCCAGTGGTTCTTGAGAAGAAGTCGAAAATGTGAAAAGTTTACAGACGGACAGACAGACGGACGCCTGACAAAATGTTATCAGAAAGCTCACTTGAGCTCAGGTGAGCTAGAAAGTGTTAGCTTAGCTTGTGAATGCATTTAGTTCGTTATGTTATAAATAGCACATGTACATCACTATTGGATTGGCTTGTCAAGAGGAAGAGATATTACTCCCGAGACATGAAGTTGCACCAGCTCTGTACAAAGGTTAGCCTGGTCCCCAGGGACAGGGAACCAGGCTATACATAGGTATACAACGATAACAAATTTTAAACAGATTCAGACAAAGCCAACTAACGACTTACCTAATGTAGTAGAAATAGAATACAAAAAAAAAAGGAAAATGAAAACGAATTATGAAACTCGGAAACATCGAACAAACTGGTATAAGATACGTTTTGATTTGTGAACAATTTTACTAAATTTACCTTATCTTTTTAAATCATTCTCAAACATGTACAGTAGCAAAGATCCCATAGGTAGTTGACAAACTGTACAGGTATTGTCGTATCAATTGAAATGAATTGAAAAATGCAACAAAGAAAACCACTGCTCGACGTAAAAAAAACTTAAATTAACAGTCATAAAAAGATAATAACAGCGTATTTATTTTAGATCCACACTGTTATTAACAGGAAAATGAAGACGACCACGCCCCAATCTGAAAAGACATGAACAGTTGTGAAAAAAATAGACTTGGAAATAATAATAATACAATTACAAAAAATTCAAGTTTAGAAGCCTTATGTTGTATTCTATTGAACGCTCCTAGTATAATGACACAAGCACAGCACAGTATAAATATACAAAATACATTATGTTTCATAATAATTATTTATTGTGGATACAAGGTGACGTCAAATGAAAAGTTGCCAACGTTAAATATTCATTCCCTATTATTTAACATAAATATATTCACTTTTCCATCACAATGAGAATACAAGACATTGTTAAGGGAAAATATTATATAGTTATTAAATGGATATGAGGTCAATAATAATTTTGTCAGCCCAAACGAAAGAACTGTTGCACAGGACGCAGCCCGATGGCAACAGTTCTTATTCTTACTGAGGGTTGACAAAATGAACATCATCATACCCCTTAATAACAATATTATTATACCGAAAAAGATCCTGGTTAAACGATCTATTAATCAAGTTATTATTTAATTTATTCACTTTCACATTAACACCACCATCATTTCTTGAAAACAATAATTATGTTATCAAAAATAGACAAATTTATTATTGATAAGGATTATGTGTGGTAACAAAAATCGGTATATTCATTAGTAAAATAAATTTAAGTTTTAAAACTGTCTATGGTTTGACGCTTTGAACACGTTTGCAAATAAAACGCATTAGCGACCCTAACAGGATGAATACTAGTAATAGCTTTTCGCCCTTGGAGAATAGTCCAGATAGCATGTTTTTATGCTGCTTGGCGATATATATTTCATCTTATAACCCTTATATAGGAGTAAATCACACTAAGGTATAATAAACTTACCTAAATGGACTTGAGATGAACCATTAACTGAAACATTTTCAGGAAATAATGCTAAAAATTATAAATATTTTATACAGAAAAAAAAAAATTAGGGATGTCAATTTTATTCGAACAGCTTAGTCGAATAGTCGGAGGCTTTAGTCGAACGATAGTCGAATATTCGTTAAAATTTAAATTAATTTTTCATGTCATTTTCACTATTTGTCTTTATAGACTAGTTGTACAATATTAAACATACGCTATCACCATTAAACAACGAATTTCTGAAACGTAGTACAGTGTAAAATAAATACTGTACATTTACATTTATCCAACGCATTTGATTTCAAAATTAATATAATATTTACTGCACATTTTATCTAAATGCAGGATATAAAACGCTTGCATTTGTCCTTTCTTTTCATAACGATAGTTCATGTACCCGTTAATTGAAGCCATTTCTACATGTATCAGTGACCTTTGACTGGTAAACAATTAAAGCGTGCCTCTTATAAAAACAGAGAGCTTGCGATAAATTTTAATTATGAGATTTTACGCAAATAATCAATACAATCTTAAAAAGACTGCATGATATTAATATCAGAAAGAAACACAATTTAATTACGCTCATAACTGTCCCCCAATTTACATGTATTTACAATTTTGTAACAGCTATTTAATTATTCTTTATGAATAGTTGCATTACGTCAGATCTTATGGGATTGCAGGTTGAAACTTTATAATTTGAATCTACAAAAACAAACAATTCTTGAACTTCCTCTCCATTTACAACAATAAGTGGTAGACAATCCTTGATTATCATGTTTGTGATAGCAACATTTTTCTTTCCGGCTCTGCTTTTTGGGGCATTTTGCGGAGAACTTACGTAAGAAAAGTTTCACTTGAAGACTGTGTTTACTATATGTATGTTTGACGGATTCGGCATATGATACATCATATTTGATGTTCCACTGCAGAATACAAGTTCAGTTTCACATAACCTTGAAAACGTACTTTTAACTGTTTTTCCATCCTTAAATCTTTTAAAGTATTCCAAAAACTGAAGACCTTTTAGGCATATTTGCCGCACATAAATCGATATAAAGATAATTTCCTTTGAACAGTTAAACCATACCCTGAGTTTTACTTACGCGAACAATGATCTGTATATAAATGAAATGGGCGAATCCAAGTTTATTACCTTGAATTTAAAATTACTTTCAGGTAACACATTTTTAACAAATAACCGACTAAAGAAATTTTAGTTGATAGTCGGTATGATCGAACGATAGTCGAGTATTCGAATATTCGTTGACATCTCTAAAAAAAAAATACGTTTCTTGATGCTGCTTACCATTGTTAAGACCTTTTACTTCAAGAATGGAGAGAGTTCCACTTGCAGAACCAGCCACCAATAAAAGAGATCTTCCTGTTGGACTTTGATTTGGTGGGATGTATCTAAAATCATATTTTTTGTTGAAAAATTAAGACGGCATTTAATCTATAATTGTGTGAATGAAAAAGTAATAATAAAAGTCTGATGTTTTAAAGTTTTCTCACTTTAGATCCTCTGGATCTATACAGCTAATGGTTCTCTGGTCAAAAGCCTGTGTCCATGTTCCCTCCGAGGTAGGTATGTCCCAAAACACACTTTCGAGTTTTGGCGTGGTTATATCTCCATCAAATGAGTATATACTGATAGAACCTGGTCTTTCGTTTCCAAGGAAGAGAATAACTTTATCGCCATCATTGGCAACAGTAAGACTTTCACTCTCAGGGCCCTTCAAATTATAAATGGAATTTAATCAAAAAATAATTACATGTATAATCAATTTCTTATTTAAAGTTAAGTAGTTCATTCCATTTCATTTTACGAAATGCGACAGAGTTTATTATACAATGCTTAGAAAATTTTAATGCTGAAAAGAATCATTTTAAGAATAGAATTAATAATTACACGCTTTAAGATACGTGTATATACATTTAGTACAATACTGTTCTAGAAATCAAAACAACAAGAGGCCCATGGGCCATATCGCTCACCTGAGCACTGTGGCTAGAAAAAAAGCAAATCAGTATTGAAAAGCTTTAATGCATAAGTGGTCCCGACCTACCCTTAAAAGGGACGGGGGGTGGGGGTGGTGGTGGTGAGAGGGGTTATGTTTGAACAAAATTGAATCTGACTAAAGATGCTTACATATTTCTTGGTCTGTGACTTTTTTCCCTTCAAGTTTGAACTTTCATTATGGTCCCATCCTACCCCCAGGGGTCATGGTTTGAACAAATCTGAATCTACACTACATGTATCTGAGGATGTTTCAGTATAATTATGACCAATCATAGCTTAGCTGTTCTTAAGAAGAAGATTTTAAAAAATAATTTCTATGTATTCCTATGCATACTTTTATCACCAATTGTGGCCCCACCCTATCCCAAGAGGATCATGATTTTTTTCAAAATGAATCTACACTACCTTAGGATACTTCCGAATAGTTAATAACCAATCATGGCTTTGCTATTCTTGAGAAGATTTTTTTCTATATATTCCTATGTAAAACTTTGATCGTCCATTGTGGCCTCATCCTACCCTCGGGGGTCATGATTGGAACAAATTTGAATTTACACCATCTGAGGATGCTTCCATATAAATATGACCAATCATGGCTTTGCCGTTCTTGAGAAGAAGATTTTTTTAAAAAAATTTCCTATATACTCCTATGTTAAACTTTGATTGTCCATTGTGGGTCCACTCTACCCCAGTAGGTAATGATTTGAACAAACTTGAATCTACACCACCTGAGGATGTTTCCACATAAATATGACCAATCATTGCTTTGCTGTTCTTGAGAAGAAGATTTTTCCTATATATTCCTATATAAAACTTTGATCGTCCATTGTGGCCCCACTTACCCCCAGAGGTCATGATATGAACAAACCTGAATCTACACCACTTGAAGATGTATCCATATAAATATGACCAATCATGGCTTTGCTGTTCTTGAGAAGAAGATTTTTAAAGATTTCTGGTATATATTCCTATGTAAACATTTATCATCCATTGTGACCCCACCCCTACCCCTTGGGGTCATAATTTGAACAAAGTTGAATCTTCTCTACCTGAGGATGATTCCATATGAGTGTCATCTTTCCTGGCCCAGTGGTTCTTGAGAAGAAGATTTTTAAAAGATGCCATTAATTTTTCACTAATTTGTAATTATCTCCCCTTGGAAGAGGGCGTGGTCCTTCATTTGAACAAAATTAAATACCCTTTACCCAAGAATACTTTGTGCAAAGTTTGTTGAAATTGGCCCAGTAGTTTTGGGAAGAAGATGAAATTGTGAAAAGTTTACAACAACAAAGGCGCCGCCGCCGACGACTACGACAACAACGACGACAGACAACGGACAAATTTCGATCAGAAAAGCTCACTTGAGCCTTCGGTTCAGGTGAGATAACAATTTATTATGAGACACTTGATAAAACAGCAATACAATACTGCTTGTTAATTACTTTGTCGTCTGATCTGGAATCCATGGTAGCCTTGATATCTTCTTCAGTCTTTGCTTCTCCATTGAAAAGATCAGGTCTTCTTTGGGCATGCGTGTCCTCTATATTACTTCCACTATCATAAACTTGAGACATTGTTTCAGTTCTCCAAACAGAAAATCCCCGTCCACCAAATGTGTACAATTTTTCAAAGGTACCATTGTTTAATCGTCCATTCTCTTTCGTTAATTTAAGCCTACCTTTGAAACAAACACAATATGAAATACATGTACTAGTGTATGGAATATTTTTTTTATTTATTACTTTGAAAGCAAAGTGGGTTTACCTAGAATTGCATCATCCAATATATTCTTCACATCATTCTGCAACGCCCACTTTCTCACTTCGGAGTTATCTATCAAGACAATTATACATTAAATTATCAACAACATTTATAGGGATTTATATATCAGATGCAATACGAGAAGAAAAGATTTCAATGATAACATATGACAACCAAAAACACCACAGTACTTGAAAGAATGATATCTTTAGCTCTGGTTTCTTCGCTAAAACCGGTCTTATACAAAGAATAATCGGAGTAGTCTTTGCTGTCTCCTTCGTTAGCTGTAATGATGTATTCAACATCGTTCATATTCATCACATGTATGGCGTCAGGTTGATACATCCCGTACACCGGAAGTGTTCTGATATTAATTCCTGTTGGGAAAACCAATATTATTCAGCTGTACATCTAGTGCATGATAAAAACTGTTAAATCATTGTACCAGCTTAAAACATTTTCAGTATGAGTATGACAATAATGGTCATGGATTTTTAGCAACTTGGATGAGAGATGTTCTTCCATTTTATTTCTTTCAAATCTATGATATGTCGAAAACCGGTATCATATCTACTTAATTTGTGTGTATCATTTAATTTAGGAGAAAAGGCAAAACGAAAATTCGAAGTTGCAATTGCTCCCTCCCCCTCTCAAATAAAAAATTTTCATATTCAAAAAAAAAGAAAGAAAGAAAGATCATTAATTATTATCGACATATATTTCCGAATATAAAGAAGCTGATTTAACTTTAATTATATGCAAATGTATATGCTGAAAATGATAATTTTAAAAATATATCTTCATTTTATTTCTGTAACATGTACCATTGTCTTTGTCACTGGCATCAAGTTTAGAATTCCTCCAGTCTTTAAAACCAAGTCCATGAATTGCTGTTATGTTTTCTGTCTCTAAATCTACTTCTGCTATTGCATTGTTTTCCTGCAAGTTTGATAGAAATTCAATTTTAATGCTTCAGAATTTTTTTTAACAAATTAACTTTATAATAGATAGATAACTATCAGCAACCGTTCTTAAATATTGTTAAATATATAAGTGATGGATGTTTAAGTTCATATTTTGTCTATTTTTCCTCGCCCAATTAAATATTTTGTTTAAGTTTTGAACTTTTTTCCCTTGATTGCCTTGTAATTTGCCAATTGTTATTCATGTACATATGTACATGCTATTGATTATTTTCCACTATTATGTTTGTGTTTTTTCCCGCTTTTTCTTATGTATCTTGTTTATCAATCATATTTTCCCCATGCATAATTGTTAATCAGCCTACAAATGCACAATACTATATTGAGAGTGTGTAATTGTAAACTCGAAAGTAGGGTTTTAACATCAATTCTCTGTAAGGACTAAAATTTTACTGTAGGGCTGTGGCACACACCATGAGCGATTTTCATGCAACTTTTTCAGGTGATTAATGCCCATACATTATGACATAGTCAACATTCAAAATTAAGGTTACTACCTTGGTTGCCATGGTAACGGGCTAATATAGATTTTTGCCCCATTTCCTCTCAATTCAAGCATAAAAATGCTATATACTTGATTTCATGTGATTTAATCATCTTTATTATTTTGAGATAATTCATACATTATATGAATAGAACAAATGAAGCACTATATAACACAATAACAAAAAATTCTACAAGTTGCTGCAAATTCTTCAATTGATGGCTTGAAGATGACCAAATTCTTACATTTTGAAAATGGTCATTTTTACCCTATATTTCAAGAAGTCTCTAAAGAAATGCAGGCAATTCAAGAAAAAATCACCTGAAATTTTAAAAACGCCATAATAATATTAGTTAACTTTTATGAAAAGTAGAGTGGGGATTTATTTCGTTTTCGATATTTTTAACTTCTAAAATTGGCATTTTGCCAAATAATATTTTGTTCAAAATGTTACTAGACACTGGTTGTTTTATAAAATTTCTTTTCCAAACATTTTTCTCACCAATAAATAAGACAAACCGAATGATTAATATACATTATTAAAGATAATAAATAAGATAAAACTAAATTAATTGAATTATTGTTTCTCTATGATCCTTTACAAAGGGCAGATAACTCAAAATCTAAAGAAAATTAGCTATTCAACTTTTCACTGAACTTATTTCAGTAAACAACATTTTCAAATACTAGATAAACAATGGAAAAAGATAATGGATAAAAACTCTAATGATACTTTTTCAACCAAAAAATAATAAATAGATAATAAATTGTTACTTTTTCATACATAGGTAGGTAGATATGAATTTAGCAGGTTTAGTATTTGATAAGCTAATGTTGATTTCCTCCATTTAAATTTTGCTTGTTCCCATGCAGATGCATATCTTTATATATTAATTCTATTTGGTTAAAGAAATTTAGAATTATTTAGACTGACCATGAATTAACACCCTATTAAAAATAAAACCATTAATGTATAGTCTTACAATCAGAAAACATACACATATTCATGTGTATATGTATAATTTTATCATTACTTTGAAAAAACATTTTTTTTTTCAAATTATTAATCAAGCAAGAATCTACATCTAAACATTATCCAAAATGTGTATTTAGAGATACACAAAATGTAGAAAATAGCTGTTATATAACAATTTTGTAGACAATAGAAACAGCTAAGCTTGATGTTTCCATGATATCTCTTTACATCAGAGGTTGACCATTATGTGGTGTTGTGTCTGACCAGTCAAGAAGAATTTTAAATGGGTTTGAAAAGTGATGCTTGAAATAATCATCTTCATGTTTTCCCCTGGAATAAAAAAAAACATACATGTATACTTCAATTAAAAATCAATTGTTTAATATCTACTACATTTTTCATGTGATAACAAATACAAGCATAAAAACATATCTATTTTTATTAAAATGTATATACATGTAATTCTAAACTAGTAGTTAGTATTTACACCTTGAAATAAATTGCCTCAAAATTCCTGCATGTGTACTTAAAAAAGCAGGCTTCATATCACTAGGTGCTTGGGGACGGGACCCCCCCCCCCTCCCCTGCGTTCCATACCCCAAGGGTTCTCCCCGACTTTTTCTTATATAATAAAAATATTTTTAAAACTTTTAGTATCAGAGAGTATGAATTTTTATAAAAGGTTAGTTTTAGGTTATATTTTGGATTTTTCAATTGTAATACTTTGTGAATGTGTCATTATATAAATAGTGCACGTTTTTGAGGGTAACAGTTGAAATTGACACCCCAAGGAAAACTATTGTCAACCGACGCGTCAGCGGAGGTTGACAATGGTTTTCCGAGGGGTGTCAATTTCAACTGTTACCCTCAAAAACGTGCACTATTTATTTTATTATACTGAATGTCTTATTGATTTCGGATATCATACAAAAAATTCGGAGATCGTCGTTAAGTTCACGCTTAGAAAGCTTTCACACTCCCCACTTCTATTTTTTCAATAAGAAAGCTTCGGAAAAGATTTACCAACCTCTTTTTTGTTTGTTTGCTACTCAAAAAGTCCTTTATCATCTAAAGTTTGCACTCGCAAGGATGTTTCGTCTGTCGTTTGTTGTTTTCAAGTAAGCTACATCGGACGCAAGCTTTTATTGACGTCGTTTATTCGACTTCTTTCAAACGCACAACCGACGTTTTGAGAATTCTACGGTGAACCGTACGCGCATCATTTGAACGCATGTGATATTTTCGTAATGTTACCCGTTGTCAAGTGTGTTGCTAATGCTGAGGGTAACATTACGGATTGTTAAATGCCTCTAAACCAATCAGATTTTAGTATTTAACATGAAAGTATAATAAAGAAAAATATTTTATATAAAAAAAAATCGAGGAGAACCCTTGGGGTACGGAACGCGGGGGAGTGGGGGGGGGGCGTCCCCAAGCACCTGTTTTTCATATTTTATCGCTTTTGGCGCAGACAAAAATGCGCTAATTAATGAAAACCGTAAATAAATCAGAAATAAATACAATACATGGCGTAGACGTATGTAATGCTAATTCATGATTACACCAACCATTACATACCCAGTGATTGCGCTAAATTTTGAATACGCCAATTTATGTACACATACAGTATTTTCATTGTAGCCAATTGCAAGATAAAAGTATCTGAAACAATTTACCATCACCTACTCCAATTTGTATTTCTTTTCATAATTACTACACCCCCAGAATTTGTCAAAATCATGACTTTTATAAAAGATTTGATAAATTCATTGTGGTAGTTGGCATTAAAAAATGAAAAATGCTATTCATTTCCATATCCAGACAATTGTTATATTTAAAAAAAATCACCTGCTTTTTACTGAAAATATTTCTCTGTGTATCTGTTAATCTTCTTATTTTCTTTTCAAAGCACCAGTACATCTAAAATATGTTTAAAATATTTTTTTTCAAATTTAAGAAATTCATTCTTATTGTCAATCATGAATACATACATTTACATGGGTATATCGTATTTATATCTTATTAGTGTGTATATATTTATAGCTGCAGTTAAATATTTTGTTCTTTTACAGTGAATCTGATTTGTATGACTTCTTTTTAGATTAAAAAAAAATTATGTGTTTCCGTTGAGTCGACCATCTCTAATTTTTACCCAACACCCCTACTAATTTTTAAGCCAAATCAGATTTTAAACTGTACAACGTTACCAAATATATATACATGTATATATATATTTAAATTGCCTTGTGTATATTTTTCATTACATACAAACTTACATCTTCTATAACATTCTCCTCCTTTTGATAAACTTTGTAGTTATGATTTGCCAAAGTAAGTTGCTTTCTGAAGCAAGCACAAATTCCTTTAATGCAAATATATTAATAAGATATATATCTGGAATGTCCTGCTAACATGGTGATCTTTGAATATAGACCACTTAAGTCTATTATATAAAAAGAATATTTAATTTAAAAATTATGTCAGATTATTTGAAAAAGCTTCTAACATGTAGTTTTTATACACAATGAATATTTGAAAACATAAAAATATATACCTGTGCCTAGGGTTGTTCTAACACTGACTGCCGTATCTTCTGCTTGTTGTTTTCCTCAAATTGTATCTTGCATTTTTCTCATGGGTTTTAGAGTACAAAGTATTTTGCCATTCACACTTGAATTCCATTTTGAAAAGTTGAAAAACACACCATTTTTCTGTTATTGATTCATATTTACTTTTCTGGCGTCTGTTTTTGCCACATGTTGTTATAAACTTCTTTAGACTTCAATACAGGAGAGTCAACAAAGGGAAATAACACCAGTTTAATTTTTTGTTTTCAGTGCAAAAGAGTCAGCAAAGGGAAATAACTCTAGGTTAAATTTTAGGAAAAGTTATAATTTGAGGGGATTGGAATATAACTTTTAACTGATTTCCCCAACTCAAATCTTTTTGCATCTTTTAGATCTAAGCTCGATCTTACTAAAAAGATCTTTTTTCTAAGTTTAAATTGCCTGCAAAAATTTATGTGCATATCAAGAAATAGGCACCTTTGTATTCATTTTTATGACAAATTCATGTAAATTGATCTGTATCATATTAAAAACCTTGGGTTAAATTGAATAAAATTTAGATGCACAGAAACTTTGATTACTTAGCTATAAAATGAAAACCATGTTATGTTCATAACTTTCCTACATTAAGGAAGCACGGAATTATTTTACATGGTGATGACAATCAGGTCGGTTTTGCCATAACAAAATATTTCAAAGTCGTTGCTATGGAAACCAAGGAGGTACTGCCCAAAATTTACCCACCAATAGTCTTTATATAGGGCATTCTCTAATATTATAGTGATAAAATAAAATTCCATGATAGTGCGTGGCCAAGCATTTTTGGTCCTTACAGAGAATTGATGTTAAAAAGTAAAGTGCATATGCAGTTCATTGCGTATTGTAAATAATCGTTTGTACCTGAAGGCAAACATAGGCTTTCTTTTCATCTTTGCTGTATGTGATATATTCTGGTTCTAAATCTTGAGAGAACGAATTATTATTTTCTTTATAGATAAACCGTACACCATATTTTGACAGGTCTTCCCATCTGCAAACGGTAAGATAAATTAATCATTATAAAGTACAAGGTACTAAAAATATGCCAAGACAGAAATAATAAGAAAACGTACGACATTTTTAGACATGTACAAATGATCTTCATAATAAATATACTACATAAGCGAGGCAGTGGCCACAATTGATTTAAAGGATAGAAAGCAAATATAATGCATGTTCTGTTAATCAGAATCACTTACTCTTTAGCCAAGATTAGTACTTTTGATCAGTGACTAATACAATCATACCTATCATTAAAGCTGTGGAAATTCAGCCTTTTATATGAATAGTTTGAGGTTGAGATGTTTTGACCATGAAACTTCAAAAGTCCAACACCACCTTCAGGGTCCACTAATTCACCGTCTCTGGCAAAAGCTTCCGCCTCCAAGGCAATTAGAACAGTGCTACAATTTGAGGAAGGCAGAAGCATGTCTGGTAGAGATCCCACTGTATAATAGTAAGATTTGATTCAAATTATCAGATCTTATTCTGGTCAGTGCGATAAACTTCAATCAATTTAAAAACCTTCTATATAATTCAATTAATTACCAAATGGTTTTTCCAAAATTTTATGAATTTTTAATTTAGTGCTAATGTGTATTTAGTGTTAACACTATGTTTTAGATCATAAAAACAATACTAAAATTATATAAAACTAGATGAAATCCCCCCCTCCCCCTGTTTTTGTAAAAAATTGAAAAATAACAATTTCATTAATGGACGTTTATTGTGAAACCTGTTATACTATGTTATGGGTATTGTACTTCAGATGCTCTTATTTCGTTTCCGTCAAGTATAAAAACAGCGAATATGCACATTTTACTGATAAATTGATTTGGGGGGGGGGTTAAAAATCACAGGTACTTGGGTCTTGTTTATAAGCTTATTGATATGTAAAAAATGTACTTTACTTTTTTTTTTACATATCAATAAGGTACATACATATTTATAAACCAAGATCCAAGTAACTGTGTAAAAATTAGCTTTTAACGACATATGAATAGGCCGAGTATTTGATACAAAAGACTGTATTCAGAAAAAAAAATGAAATGTGTCGATTAAAGCACAAAATTTTACACCTTTAATTGTATTTGAACAATACCTTATTCATTAATTTTCTCTTTTCATGTAAGGAAGTTTATTACGAAGTACAAATTGTACTTCGGGTTCATTGCCACGATGCTCTAAGTAAGGAATATATATATACAAATTTTACCGATAAATTTATTAGGAAAACCTTCTACATATTTATGTACATATATATGTAATAGTCTTTCGATATATAAATATATTCACAACTTAGAGTGTTATCAATGATTTATCATTATTTCAATGACCATGCATTCACACAAAAGCTTATGTTCATGCAGCTATAATCGCCTCGTTTTTCTTTTTAACATCGGACTCGATACTATATGATGTTCTAGAAGTTTCCGTCAATATTAAGATCGGTGAATGACGAAAATAATTTGCACGGTTACCTTTTTAATCGCTTATCATAACTTATTTCTTTTATATCATTAAAATCAAGTTTTGATTGAAAAATTCAGTGATGACGTTTTATGAAATAAATAAACGATTGCTTGTTGTCAGTTTCATTAAAAATTGCCTGTAACTTAGATCCGCCAACCGGAAACGCCACCGTACTCACGTTTTTTGCTATTTCATGGCAATCTCTTACCAGAGGGCGTATTACGCTTCGTTACAACAGAGGGTGTATTACGCTTCGCTACAACACCTCTGTTAACGTACGTCTAAATGCCAAGATTCTTGGCAAAACCTACTCTGACCTATTGCATAACAAATTGTAAATTTTAAAGTTATATATTTTAGCTTTAAAATTTAAAGAAAAGTTTATGTATGAAAATTAGAAGAGATATATCTGTATCACCGTATCTTACAAGGGATTATTTCTCGGCGGGATATTGCATCACGCAGACAGCTATGGAGAACGTGGAAAATTTAAAACGCATTGCCGACAAATATCAACATGGTTTAGTTTTTAAAGACAAACATCTTGCAGCATTGACACATATACAGAGAAGTGAAGGTAATATGCTTGTTAATCTTCCTATGCTACGCGTCTCCGCTTTCCGTACCAGGAAGCAAATTCACTTTGAGGGGGCACAACCATACATTTTCAGTTGGGGGGGGGGCACTATCAACTACCAAAATTCCTTGACAAGCAAAAAAAAAAAAAAAAAAAAAGTCATCAGACGTTATTATTGAGGGGGCACAAGCATATAGTAGCTATGTTTTCAATAGTATTCTATGTATCGGTAAAATTATTGGGGGGGGGGGGGCACGGCGCCGTGCCCCCCCCCCCCCCCCGATTCCTACGGCCATGCGTACTACTTTTAGACGTTGACAGAGGTATTAGTGGAGCGAAGCGAAAAACGATACTCTGGGTAGAGATTGTGTATTAGTGGAGCGTAGCGGAAACGATACTCTGGGTAGAGATTGTGTATTAGTGGAGCGTAGCGGAAACGATATTCTGGGTAGAGATTGTGTATTAGTGGAGCGTAGCGGGAACGATACTCTGAGTAGAGATTGATTTCATGGCTGTTTATAGAAAATGAAAGACTTTTAATTTAATGTTAATACGCGAGTTAAATCTAAATATAGTTTACGGACACCATCTTATATATAAGTAAGAACTCTGGTGCACCCGTTTCGGAGTTTGTTTGCAAAATTTATTTATAAGTATAGAAGATATATAAATACCTGTAATATTAAAAACAGTTTTCATTGCATTAGATTTCTTGTTATACTTCTCGAAGACGACCACTCTCCCAGCTTCTCTATCCTGGTTATTATCCAGAGCGACAAACACATGATCCCCACAGAATTCCACGTCAGTGGGATCAGAATCAGCTAAACTGATATTGAAAAGAATCTTCGGGCTTTGGACATTTGAAATGTCGATAACATTAAGTTTGGATGCTCCTGCAAAGAAAAAATATTTAAAAATTTATATTTATGCAGAGGTGGTGTCAGGTTTCTATTTTGATGCTTGTTTTATTTTTTGTCTCATGGAGGAAGTGGTGTGAATTAAATTTTCATCAATTACATGAATAACATTTCTCATTATTTGAATTAAGTCAAAGTGACATTCATGCACTTTTTTGTACAACAATCCATTTGTTTCTGTTTAACATATGAATGCTTGTACGAGATGAACATGCCTCTAGTTCTGTTAAAAACATTTTTATCAACTAAAGAAAGAAAAGAAATAAGATATATATCAGAAATAAGATACATAGTTTTACGTTAAAAGTTCCCTTAATAAGGGGGAGGGGGAGGAAACCAGCTTTTTAACTTTTAATATGGAACTGACAAATTTTGATACAGGTCGGTGTACTCGGGACGGCTGTCCGATTCCCACTGATCATCCAAAACAAATTCAACAGCATATATAACAATTATAGAATGACATGTGTAAAAATGACATTTGGAGATAAATAGATAAAGGTTTTGACACTTGAGTAAACCCTTAAAATAATTGAGGGCCAGATTATCGTCCTTTTGATGTTATTTTGCCTAAAGATAATTTAGCAATATCAAACGATGACAGGTGTTAAACCCAATTGGCTTGGATTATCTGAAATCGCCGATGTTTTAATTCAATAAAGATTAAGAGTCGTAAATTCAATAAAGAAAATGATTTGAAAAGCTCAAGAATTTAGAAAGAGTTGTTCAAAAAACACAAAACAGTAACTTAATTTTAGAAACTAGAAAAACCTCTTATAACAGTAAAATTTTCATCGTGATACTAGGAACTTACCAACGATGTACACTATCTTATCCTGTGAATCATACGCTAATTGTTCGGCAGATCCTCCCCTCAACGAGAAAACAGGTGCCCCAGCAGTATAAGACACAGGTATGTATAAGGTAGATATTTTGTTCAAATGAATATTTCCACATAACACATATGTAGCAAAAACCAACTGTAAGAAAAATGGCACAAAACAGGAAGTGTTTACACCTTCCATATTGAATATATATATATATATAAAAAACTCTACTGTTAACAGTGAACAATAAAATTATTTAGATCCTTGTTCTGAGCTTGTCGGCGTGAGGCCATAAGGATTTTTATGACAATATGTGGTCACCTTGAAATATTTACGTGGGCAGTATGATCTAAACATAATTACAGATGGTAACAAGCACTTATTTCTGTAATACCGCATTAAATGTTTAATTACACATTAAAAAACTTGATCTCTCACTTTCACCTTCTGACTTGTTACACAGATTCCTCGTTTGAATAGGGTCTTTGAATTACTAAATAACTTATCACGATATTAAAATAGCCCTTTACAAAAAACAATGTAACATGACAAACTGAATAAAAATAACATGCATTAATATTCAAAGCATGTAAATTTTAGAATATGGAATTCATTCGTTTACAAATTCAAAAACCATTAAACAGATTTAACACATATAAAATAAAAACAACTTTTAGGTATAACTCAGTCTTCGCCTTAGATGCCAGGGATAAAAGAAGTCTGAGATATAAAAGAGAATGCACTTTATAATAGAGCAATTTTTTGTACATCTTTTTACATTTCAGTGATAAATCTAGATGAATGAAGAATGTTTAACATAAATGTGTGATTTATGAAAATTATTATGCATAAATCAACCTTTGTAAGGTATTTCACTGTAACGATTAGACAGCAAAAAATACTGAACACAAAATATTCCAATTTCTAACTGCCCGAAATGTTCACAGTCCTTATTCTTAACTCCTTGTCCCCACTTCGTAACTGAATTTATTTCACATATTCATGTTCCACTAACACAAATTAATTGATATAGCTTACATCAATTGTTAAAAATATGAATTTTATGGCATATAATCAATATATACGTTTATAAATAAAATAGAAAGGAAAAAAGGATACAGAAAAGGTGGTTGATAAAATAATGTTTGCTGTAATATTAAAAGCTAATATCTTTGATATCAGATATGTGTTTCATTGTATATCTGAAATTCTTTCTTTGGTGAGCGGATGGGTTAAAAGATTCACAATCTAGTTGAATGTTCTACTTTTTCGAAAGGATTCGTAAAGTCAAATTAATATTGATCATATTAAGGCGGCTTTTCTTGCATACCAATCCTTACCTATTATGGCGTATAAATAAGTAAATAGGATAAAAAAGAGCCCTGTGATGAAGTTGCAAAACACTCTTTGGAGAATGGATCGAAAGAATGATAACGTTATTTTATTCTTGCATCTTCTGAACACAATTTATGTTTTAAAGTAAAATGAAATTCATATTCCTACTGACAATGTAGAATAACATACATACTCGTATTATAATTTTCAGCGACAGTAAGGCAGTTACATGTAGGGCACAGAGAAGAAGACTTTTAATTGAGAAGGATAACATCCCGTAAACCTCTTTCAGGAAGGACAAACACAGTCGCAGCAAATGAAAACTACCGATGAAACCGTTTCTTCTGTTGGAAAAAACATCGAATCTCAAAATAAATCATGGATTGAAAAACAACAAAAAATCAATATTTTTTTTTTACTTTCACAAAAGTTAAATATTACGTGCTGGAAACATGGGATTTTTTTAAATCAGTAACGATCCTCCTATAAAAACGGCCACAATAGCTGTATTTCACTTCTATTCCAAATAAATGCGAGAATTTCATCGCCATCAAAAGCAAGTTCATTAACTTGCCTAGATGATCGAGAGGTCTAGCACGCTGGATACAGGTTCCGCAGGGCGAAAGTTCAATCCCAGAACGGGAGGAAGTGGGTATCCCTGTATAATGAATCGCTCTATGCTCTCCTCTATAATAGTATTTCATAACTTACGGCAGTTATGTTGTATAGTTATGGAGTTCATTGTAGACTTCGTGTGCTTTATATATATATATATATATATATATATATATATATATATATATATATATATATATATATATATATATATATATATATAAGGGATGTCAATTTCTAACCGGTTAACCGATTACTCGGTCGGAACGATGTCAATCGGATAGAAAATCTGTAATCGGTTAGTCGAAAAAAATAAAATATATGTAAAATTGAACGCAATCTTCTCAAAATTTATTTTTTAAAAAGAAATCCCTGCTTAAACGTTGATAATTTAGCATTTTCACATATTTATTTAAGCTGAAATAGAGGTAATTATGGCTCTCCGGATTAAAATTGTGCGGTAATTGGTCAGTCACTGATGTGTAAATTACTGTTAAAACACCATGTGTTCCCCGACTGTCCTGTAATTCTTTAATGATAATAATCACCGCTGGGCACTTTGAATTGGTGTGTATCTTTAGCAATTATCTATCAAATTAGATTATTAAACAAACATTGTAAATTAAGTGATACAGTTTAGACTTAGATTTGATTATGGTGACAATGAGAATGAACTTGTTTGACATCTGCTTGGAAAATTATTCACGATTTCTCAGGCATGTTTCATGGTTTCTGATTTTTTTCCCTGTCTATTGAAATAAAAAATATATGCATGTAATTTCCTGATCAAGAATAAAGACAAATAGAATTTTTTTTTTTAAACTTCTAACATTGTTTTTAAGTCTTCTTGTGCGTAGGAATAGATCTACTTGAAAAAAGTCAAGAAAATGTATAGTTTTATACGATTAACCGGTTAATCGGTCGGAACGTGTTGTTAATATAATATCTATTTCTCCGGAAAAATTAAGGAATTGCAGATTTTTGTTGAATTTATATTTTTTGACAAACAATCGGTTCATTATAATTGCGGTTAACCGATTAGCAATTCTGTATTCGATTGCCATCCCTTTTATATATATATATATATATATATATATATATATATATATATATATATATATATATATATATATATATAACCACTTTCTTACCACCCTATGACAAAAGCTTACTATCCTTTTTGCTACAAAACATTTACTAGGGTTTCCTATGTTTAACTTTAACTACAAGTAAATTATATGCATAAATTCCTTAATATACAACTCAGACAAACCATTACAGACGAAACGAGTAATGTTTTATTACATGTTCTACTAATTAGACAAATTATGCATATGAAAACATTCACAAATTTCCAAAATGTAATCTTAATTTGCATTTTGACAGTCAATGAAAAGTTAATGTTGGCCTTCAAATCTGACCTCTAGACTTTTGATTTCGACTTTTTACTCGACCTTTTCTTCCCCTTCGATTTTGACGAACGTTTCTGTTTCTTCGATTTTGAAGACTTTTTCCTTTTTGAGGTTTTCGTCTTAGATTTTTGCCTTGATTTTGTTTTCTTTGATTTTTTCTTTTTTGCTGTCGTTTTGGTTTTCCTAGAAAATTTACCCTTTGTTTTGGTTTTCCGAGAGAGTTTTCTACCCCGTTTGTTGGGGGAGTTTTTATTATTCCTTTTAACGTTCCTTTTGGTTTTCCGCTGAATATTCCTCCTTTGCTTTCTGTTAGATTTATTGCGTTTCTTGGTAATTTGTTTGTTTCCTGTATGAGAAAAGGAAGCATAAAGATAGGATTGTAAAATAATTGTCCTAAATTTTAGAAGTAGAATATTTCTGAGAGAGATACAACATAAGCATATATTTTCTTCCATTTCTGCAGTTCTATCTAAAAGTAATGTAATTTTTATTGTCCGCTAGAACAACATCGGCGATATTGTAGAAATGAAATAAAAAGCCACTGAGTGGAAATAAAAATAATGATACAAATATCATACCTTTGGCCCCGTTGTTGGAAATGGTTTTTGTGGCTGCAATTTCTGTGGTTGATGTTTCTTTAAGGGCTAAAATCCAAGAAAATGTCTTTTTCTCATGATATCAGTACTTTCAACTCGTACCGAGTCATAAATTAAATTTAATACATCGAGAAATTAGATATTTGACCATCAGTTTTCCCCACATATTTAATGAATATTTTCACATTAGATCTTGTTTGATAACTAGCTATTATTACCAATATTGTATTTTTGAGTATATATTTGTCATATCTATTTATAAATGAAATTTTTATATAAATATACTGGACAAAAAAGTAAAGGATCACTTTCTTTTGAAACGAACTTTTGTAGTGACTGAATTCATTTGAAACAATTCAAACAAAACATTTTTCATTGCTACTACGTAAATGATATTGTTTACAGAATCATATTACATTATGAATTTACAAATTCAAAATACATAAATATCGGTATATAAAGATGGTATAAAAACCATTCTACATCAAGCACTTCATTTCTGAAGCAAAATTTAGGGGCTTAAAAATAGCATGTTCAGAATAACAAATTATGGGATACATTTTTTTTTAAATTTTATCATCACAGTTCAATAAGTGAGGAGTTTTTGACTATATTTTTTCCTTTAAAGATGCTGTACCAGATGAGAAACCATAAGAACGGAGAATGCAATAACATGAATTTAATTCTGTAATCCTTAACTTCTTTGTCCACTACATATATTCAAAATCTGTATACATCCAAACACTAATCCATCACATTTTATATATATTAATAAACTACATGTAAAATTTAAAAATATGTTATTTATGTGCAAATATTATTAATTTCATTTTCATCTGTTAATATATAAATTTAATAATTTTAACAAACACTTACGTGCAAATATTATTTTCATTATTGTACTAAGTATAATGTTAGAAACAACTGACTACATATATAATGAATTAATGCTAGATATTTAATTGCAATATAATTTTTGTCATTTCGTGAATGTATATGTTTATTCTGTAATATCAACAGGAAACATTCTTTGATATGTAGCTTATATTATTATTTTTATACAATGACCATCTCTCCAAAATACTTACGTTCACTTCTGAGAGGCTTGACTTGAACCCTATAATTGACTTGTGGATTTGGTAAAGCTTACAAATTAAAAAGAAACATTTCTGAAGTTTCTTTTTAGATAAACTTTAAATAATCTAATTAATTTTGTACATATATAAGTGGACAATTTTTG